GCAAAGCTCTGTCTTCATACTATGAGCAAAGCTCAAACTGGACTTCAATGCGAAAGCGCGTTGGATTTAGTGTTTGTAAATAGGAGATCTTGTTTACATAGTTCATTTTAGATTTGATTACAAATAAATAACGAAAGTACATTCTACTGAACGCGAAATTTCTGAAGGGGTTCAACCACGAAACGATACTAAACAAATCATCCTTACAGACTTCAAACGGTGCGTTTCCTCCTGGGTTGGGAGACTTCTAATGGCAAATCTTAATTCATTGTTCAATAGACGATGCTCAGTGAAATACCCGTGTTGGCGTGTTGAGTGAATGCACTGGCATGATTTTAACGTATTGTTTACCGTTCCGATCGTTGGCCAGATGAGGGAGGCGGAGTGCCAACATTTGGGTGACGACTGGCGGAACTGGCTGGACGTCCAGTGACGTTGGGGCCGAAAATACTTACACTCTCGGCAGCCGCAACCCAACACTTTGGGTGGTGTATTGTTTAGCCAGAAACTATTTTAATTATTATTTTATGATTTATCGCTAGTTGTTTGATATGTTCGGTAACCGTCCCAAAACTGTGATCAGTAGGTCAAAATTTCACAGGCTAGAAGGTAGGCTTCTAAAACAAAAAAAGACAGTATAATCTTGATGTTGGCGAGGGTTGAATTGTTTTTACTCCCAAGATGGATTGTGTTTCGCATACAAAGCGTGTGTGGAGTGGGTCGGTACTATCGCCGATGGCCTAGTTTTGACAAACGGTAACATGGATTACAGGGTCGGTGATATTATGAAATAAAGGGCAGAAATAACCAAAATGTTATACTTTAAAACTTTTAAATCAAAGAATGTAGACTAAGAAATTATGTATTAAATTGGGTTTGTTTGCCTGCACTCATTTCAGGAGACGGACTTCGATATAAATACGTACTGAAGCCTTACTATTGACACTGTCGACGGTAATTGATGAAGCTGGTTGTGTTTAAATTATTTTCTAGGTATATTCTGATCGTTTGAGGATGGTTTGTAGTAATTTGCAGTGATTTGCGTGGCTAGAACCTCGTCGATCACGAGACAGCGGAATGTGAAAGGAGGAAAGTGTCTCACGTGGATGATCACACGCAGCTAAAGGACAAAGCAAAACGTATACACAGGACCTAGGACAAGACTAATGACCGTGATGACGGCGACCAACAAAACATCCGGCTGTGACAACTCTATACAAAGTACAATATGTTACTTTTAGTAGCAGTAGAGACTAGACACACAGTACCTCGGACGCGTCTACTATTATCCAGCAACTAGGAGGTCACGAATTGTGGATATTTATAGGCATTCACTGTGAATGCGATACTCCCTGGTGTGGATTAACGTCCGCACTAGTGAGTACTACGACTATCCGCAGTACTATCCTGAAAATAAGACTAATTCGTATATACCAAGTAAAAAATTTGGTTCGGATACCACTATAAACTGTAGGTCCCTTAGTTACCATTAGCTGCATGGGCTATTAATTAACAGCTGTGCCTAAGGAATGTCAGCCTCAGTCACTAACAAGACTACAAGATCGCGCCACTCATCCTACACTCTTCTCCATTCATACTTGGCTTAATGGTACTTTGTACGGTCGCCATTTAAAGTATTAACTACCGCGATGACGGCGATCAACAAAACATCCGGCTGTGACAACTCGACAACTCTATACAAAGTACAATCGGCTGTTACCAGCATTGTACCAGTAAGCCGAGTTATGCTTAAGGCATTGTTTGTTACCATAGGCCGGTTATCTTTTATCTATATTATATTTGTGTTTACATTTAGTCTGAAACACATCCGGCCTTGTTTTAAGTGTATCTTCTCTTCATTCTATTGTAACCTAGTAACTTATATTTTGACCAGCCAATGACAGGTGGGGGAAGTTAGCTGGACTTTCGGTAGAGTGTAAAACTTCAGTCCCCAAGGTTCCCGGTTCACATCCCGCCAATCACGAATTGATTTTATCCATGTGATACCGTGAGCATACCTGATTAAATGTGGTAATACTAGGCCTAGCCTGTACTACGAGTTTGTAAACCTTTTCCTTGCCAGAACCTAGCATCATAGGATGTGCCAGTGGGACTGGGATGTAAAAAACACTTACAGTCAATAAAAATAATCTTCTTTAATATGATTCCCTAAGGTATTTCTGAAGTTTTTGGTCATTGGAAATCCTTTAAGACGATTGAGCTACCAAGAAATCTACTAAGCTACTAGGCCTATACTACTGTCATTAGCTGATACAAGAGACAACCTACATTTCTCAGATAATATACTTATTACAATTATTGAGAGTCAGAAGCAAAATGATCAGACAGCTAAGATAAGTTAAGCCTTCTCGAGATTATTATTTAATAGTCCTATGATGAAACTTGTAGTCTTTATTCCTAAAGTTTCTGACAGTTCTTGAGACAGAACTTGTTCAAAAATATCACTAGTTTGACTAAATAATTCTGATTAAAGAGTTATCTCAATGCAATTGTCCACACAAATTACAAACTGCCTACTGTATGCAATTTGAACAATTTTTATAACAATAATTTAAAGACAGTTAACCAACAGTTTTATATGTGTGTGCTGTTCTTTTCCTAGTGCACTCTGACGGTGGACTGGTGACATGGGATATTGATTGAGCTGTCATTGTTATTTATACCTTGATGCCACTGTTTGTTGTGTAGCAGATCTCTCGCCCACACAATATCGTCAGGGCCACAAGCCATCAGTCGGCTAAATTTAATTTAATTTGTCAGCATCAATTTTAATTTAATAAACAGATAAACAAAATAGGTTATATGTTTATCTGAATTTAAAATCTAGATTGAATATTAAGATTTACTTTTTTATGAGAACTATCCTTTTTGCAACATGAATAATGTAAACATTACCTAAATTAGACCACTCAAATAGCCATGATGGTTAAATCGGTCCAATGAGACAGTAGGTAACACACAGCACACCCACAAAAGTGAATACTACATTGTGTAGTCTTGAGATAGGCCTAGGTGTCTAGTCCAACTAAAGACTAAAGATTAAATACTAAAGTTCTATCCAAACCAATAAACTGGGCTGCCTTGTAAATATATAGATACCATAACTGGATACTCGTAGTTTTATTGCTCGTCTACGAATCATAATGTTGTCGGTTTGATTTTAGACAAGTCAGTAGCTTTATGATGGTTCAAAAATGTCCAGTACTAGAAAAACCTAGGTGTTTCTAGTAATATAATTAAAAAATGTGTAAAGGTGTTTCTAGTACTGGACATTTTTGAACCATCATAAAGCTACTGACTTGTCTAAAAATCAAACCGACAACATTATGATTCGTAGACGAGCAATAAAACTACGAGTATTCAGTTATGGTATCTATACATTTACAAGGCAGCCCGGTTTATTGGTTTGGATAGAACTATTGAGATCCTAAAAGAGGCTACAACAGAGCGGCAATCAAGATTTACTTCAAGCTGGCTAACTCCAATGCTGTCTTGACCATATCTTTTTAAAAGAACCTCTGAAGTCCAGGCCTTTCTTATACCTGAAATATTGTTTGACAACCTTATTTTGGTTGATTTGCCTATGCACATAGAATATTTTCTAGGCTGTATTTAGTAAATCAGAGCCTTATGGTGCAAAAATTCTAAATCTTTGTGCTATGGGCTATGTTTCTAACCTGTTTTTGGATTTGAAACTGGACCAACTCTAGTCAATGATTATGGCTAAAGACTAAACTAAATATTGCAAAAACCAACACCACAGCTGAATTTACTACTTATGTATTACTATTCTTGCAGTCAATTACACACACTGGTGTGTCGACATCATTAACTAATCGACGGCGTCAAACAAATCTTAATAGTTTTACAAAATCCAGAGTTAATATAGTAAATAGCAAAAATTCTGAGAGATTAAGTTGATAATTAAAAACATACTTCACATCAGTTACTGTAGGTGAATGATAAACTCTGCGAAGCATTTGTTTTGTCGAGGCCAACCAATGTTGACCGTGTCATAACAGTTTATGTCGCCTCGGTGACTCTGTCATGGCATGTTACAGTTTGTATTATCATAAAACACTTGACGGTTTACATATTTTTACTCCCTCTACCAAATAGTTGGTAAAACAAGCGCCTCATTTGGTGGACTTGTACTACATACTATTATGAGATGAGGATTAAACATTCACTTAAGGGTAATGAAGTAGAATGTAGGAAAATTTTTTACACAGTTATTTGAATGATCAGAAATTCTGTTTAACTCTGATCTATTAATTTTTACACTATGATAGTTATTGTGCCATAACATATGTTACAGTTTTCAATGAGTTGTTCTGTTTAATTTGGACTTGTTAAAAAGTTGTCATATTTGACAGAAATTAGTACTTTACATCAATACGTTAAATCTCAATTCAGCTACGCTTCTATTCTATTCTACTATTCCTTCTATTCTTTTATTCTACAACTAGGTACACCTTGAATATGGGGTTTAAAATCAATAGTCCTTGGTGTCAACTCAAACATGAGTGAGAACTATTTTGTTATCAAGACCACACTTTTCTTTTATTCGATTGAGCTTGATGTGTGAATAATCAAAATCGATTGTCATTGTTACATATTTTACATATTACAATCTTACAATGTTTAAAGTTTTAGTACATTTAAAAGTTCTGGAAAATTTTAATATAAGAATAATTATTTCAGTGACGTGCAGTTTTCTTACAATAAACGTGCACCATGGGCATAAAAAATATTGAAAAACACAACCCTCAATTTTGAAAATTATAAAAGGGTTACATTTAATTAATTCAGAATAGAATTAATGTAGGTCAACATTATCATATGGTCAAAACATTGGTGACTGGTGGTATTTGAATACGGGACCTCAGAGACCAAAGCCACAAGATCAGCTCAAGTAACATTACAATAAATGCACCTTGTGTCATATAATGTTCCTGAGATATTTCTTGTTGCTGCAGGTGGAATGGTCAGACTAGGCTCTGCACTCATGCCTGGCAAGATTCATCGTAGAGTGGTCAAAGTTGCCAACAAGAGGCCGGGAGCTTTACACAGGACAGCTGGTGAGTTCACACAAAGTAATAATACACGACTACTAGAACTGATTGTTAGGAGGGCTCCATATCAACTTGCTACCCAGATAGTGCAGGGGAGCAATTGCTTTGTCATGTAGCTGCTTATTATAAATTGATAATTTTATAGTAGAATATTAACCTACGAGGTTTAACTAAATGTAAAATAAATCACTTTTAATTCTAAGGACAATACTATTCCATAAAACTTAAATATCGTGATATTTCAGTTCAGAGGGCCAAAACCCCCCGAACTGGGGCTGTTGTAGGACCAGGTCCTCTTCAGCTGTGAAAAATTGAGTAAATGTTTTGTGGATGTGGCGGAAATTGAACCCGTCTCTCCCTCACCGAAGTCCGGAACGCCAATCACTAGACTAGCAACACACATTCCATAAAACTTCTTTACTTGAGTTTAAATCTGGGAAAAATTAGTTTAAATTATTAAAAAATGAAAGTTTAAAGAAAAAAATGTCCAAACCTACTTAGGTAATTAAAAAAACTACTTTTTTGTTGATTAAATTCCGATACATAATTTTAATATTCTTCACCAAAAATAACATTCTTTAACATTGACTGCCTACTTGTTTTAAACTCAAACTTATAATATGCCCAATGTAAGCATTAAAAAAGGCGATTTGATCACTTAAACATTTTCTAGTTTTCTTATCCAGAAGTTGTCAATTAAGAAGCCGTGGCAATTAACTCCTGGGCCTTGAGGCAGTTAATAATTTGACACTGGCCACTGTTGACTTCTGAATACATTACCTGTCGGCGCGTGTGGAAAACAAATGCTAGATTTATTCATGGGTTCATACATCTTCATAGGAAAACCCAATGTTTTGAAAGTCTACAGATGCTGCCGACTTAAATTTATCTTCAAATCGTCTTGGTCAATCCGTAATGTAAATAACAGTTCCTTCTCAGCAGGTAGAAGAGGTGGTTTTGTGATTTTTACCATTTCTAACATCCTTGCAGTGGTTGAATGACAAAGGTGCAATATAAAGTTGGCGAAAGGCTAAAGTTACACAAAGGTTGACTATCCATGGATTGAATACATACACTTAACTACAATAAAATTCAGGCAACATTTTACGGTTTTGAATAATTTTTGGAATAAGATAAACTTCACTATCGCCATAGTTTGAAAATCACAAAAAATCTTACTTAAGTTCAATTATTTCAACTATAAAGTAGCCCACCTATTTATAAATAGTAAAAGAGTGTAACTCAAACAAACTTTTACTATGTGATAGAGGGCAGAAATTATTTATTTCAAAAATATTATTAGTATTTTTTTACGCTAGGCACGAGCTCAGGATTGTTTTTCACATTACAGTACTTCAGACTAGACCAAGGGGTTGCGGCATTATCACTTAGATAAAATCCATTGGTGATTTGGTGGGATTTTAACCCGGGACCTCTGGAACCGAAGTCCCGCGCTCTTACCACTATTAAAATTTTAGGTGTCTACAGCGTAAAATTATATTCCTCTGATGATAGAATTACACCTACTGTATTAGCGATTTACTCATACGATATAGCTTTTTGAGAAACCTATCTGGTATGGATTTGTAATTACTAATTTGATGATAACTTGTCTAATTTACTGGGAATCCTAATGACCTTTTGACTAATTGACTTTAATTGCACTGTTATTCGTTGATAGTTCAGTATTTTGTAACTTGAATTTATGATGGGATTAACAGTACAGTAGTCTATGAGTCAGTTAAGCATGCATTGATGTCCAGCTGTCAAACATTTCACTCAGCTCATTGAACCTTCCTTGTATGTTTACCCAGGACTTTGTCCTTGGTCTCTTTTCAGTGCTTTACTACTTAGGAAATGGTACAAAAACAAAGTGTAGAATAGCAGTCAAGGTATTCATTTAACACCACAAGCTTACTCCATGTAGCTTCACGATTTCTCACTAATTAACATTAAAGTGACCTTTTGGCCTATTTGTAATATTAAACCATGCAAACAAAAGGGAAGCAGTGTTAAGATAAATGCTACAAATAAAAGGAAATTTATTTGTTTGGATGATAGGTTGTTTTCAGACCAAAGTCTATTCAAACAAATACAAAACATTGTCTTGTTGGAAGATAGGAAATAAAACCAACAAGCTTGATCCATAAGTCATAATTCTTCTGTTTGGGTTACACACACAGTTTTGATGGATATAAATTTACATCCAATAATACTTTCAATCTTTTTAAACCATCTATGAAAAAAACCAAAAAAACCACAATGTACAGTTGACAGCTGATCCAGTTTGCATCTACAGTATTTTAAATAGCTTCTAACTTTTTTAGGATCAACCTGGCGACATTGATTGTTAGGTAAACAGCTGGAAACAGCTAACCACTCTTTTTGATTTATTTTACTTTGTAACTATACCTATTTCCATTTCATTCATACTTTTAAACTATGCTTTTTACAGTATGATATAAAAAGTTTGGTGGTAAAGAAGTTCTACAATAGTATATCTCGTACCTAGGGCCGAAAACCATTTCCGGTCCATGGTACGAACACTATTTTTCACCACACTACTACTATTCACAATAATAATAATGAAAACTGATAGTCAACGCAACTTTAAGGTTATGTGAAGAAGTAATTTCAGGAATCAGCAAAAATAATAATAAACAGTGGCTAGGCAACGGTGAAAATAAAACAATTCTATTTCAATGCTATGGATACTGTTTGTGTAATTAATATGCAAGCGGACAGCTGATTTTGCGGCCCCGGGATGTAAAAACCTGCTCGGTCCCCAAATTATGATGACAGCTGGCATGGCCAGCATAACGTAACTTTCAGCCACCAATTAACGTATGTAATACAGCCAAAAACATCATAGTGTGGTGAAAAGATCTTATCATTAATAAACACGTGATGAAAGCCCGAGATGGTTTTAAGATATTTCAATAACATGAGACTAAGCCTATCTCTAGTAAGCTTTAAACAACAACCAAACTCATATCATAGTTGGGGGCCGAGCTTGTCTAGTGGTTGAGGGACTTTGGTCCGGGTTCAAACCCCCAATGGGTTTTATCTAAGTGATAGTGCTGCAACCCCTAGGTCTAGCCTGAAGTAAATGTGAAAAACAATCCCAGACTCGGGCCTAGGACAAAAACAAAATATATATATATGATATTCATTTTTGAGATGGGTAAAAACTCTAGCCAACTTTTGTTTTTAACCCCAACATCCTTGGGTTGAAAATATACTAGATAGCATAACTTAACATTTGTTGTAGCCCTTTTGGCTGTAATATCTGCATGATTCGTATAATCAAAATGATGTGATGTTGTATATCTACAAGATTAACAGAATTGGATTCTGTCAAAAAGCTGCAACTCATTTATTTTAATGTTAGAAATGACTTAGATGTGTTTTAAGGATCTGATTTAGTCTGAATTAATGGTTAATTAAGTAAATTTAAAGTACCATTACTGTAATGTCGTAGCTGTGGTACTTGAATCAAGTGAATGCAGAAAATTGGCCCAGTTGTCCTAGATATCTTTCAGCTTTTAATGCATGTTTGGAGAAACAACTGATCTTTGAGATCATCCACTCCATTTTATACTAACACTGCATCCATCTTCTGCAAATGTGTTTATGTCTTAGTGAAGTAATTAAGAAACAAATAGAACAAATAAAATATCACCTACTCTGGTGCAATGTAAGGATGAACATCGATAGGTTAACCATCGATGTCAACCATTGATGTGCCGATAACATAGTTGCGAAAACATTGATGTATTTGGCGCTAAAACGTCAATGTTATTCGATGTTTTTCTTTCAGTTTTTTTCTGCTCCCTGTACTTTCACTGACTCAGTTATTACCTTTTGGCATACTCTACTAGCATTGATTAAACACACTCCCTTGCATTGGTTAGTCTATGCTGCTAGCTATACGTTGGCAGTTCCTCTTTCATATTTGCAAGACCAAATATCGGTATTATGCTGGAGAACAGGAGTGCTTCCGGCTGCCACTGAAATTCATTAGAAATATAAATTGATTTTTTTGAAGCATTTAGAACAAGCACCTCACAAAAAATGTAGATAATTATCTCACTTATTCTACACTATTATTCAAGTCTAGTCCAGTTCACGATATTTTTGGATTCAATATTTCATCAACCTTTTATTAGAATAAATACAAAAATTCAATTTAAATTTTCATCAAAACTATAGTTATTTGTGCAACTAGTGAGAAAAGTGAGCAATTGACTCACTCGAGAGAAATCCTTATCGAGGAATGGTTTCTCGAGTGAGGCAATTGTACTTTGAACTCGAGTTGCACATTATACTTTTCCTACAGTTACCATAAAACAAATAAATTGGTGAAGAAACCTAACCTATTTTTACACAGAAGTGAACTTTTAATATAACATTTAATGTGAAGTGACAAATACAACAGTACAACAGCTGACCAGCTGATTTACAGCCAGTGCTGCCAACGTATTTCGCGAGCATACGACGTTGCCTGCATGTTACGCGCTCACTATTTCGTGCCTTCACGTTGCAAATCTGGAGTGAGACAAAGTAATTAGAGTGAGACAATGTTAACATTGTCTCACTGATGAGCGAATTGGCCACTTTGCTTTCTCAAATCAGTGAGAGAACATGTACATTGTTAGGTAACTGTAGGAAAAATATATTTTAGCTATGGAAAACATCAATATATCAATACTTGGGCAAAAAAATCAATGTAAAAACATTGAATATCGATAGAAAAACATTGGTTTTTCAAAAACATTGGGTATCGATGCTCATCCCTAGTGTAAAGTATTCTACTGATATATAAAAATTCTGTTTTATTTGATATCATTCCCACTCACACTGGAGCCTAGGTGGTGAGTGCTGGAGGTTATATGGTTGGAAGTATAATCACCACCACCAAATTGTTTATTTAGTTCAAAGATAGATGAAACCATCTTAAGATTTGTATCTGGTGGCAGCCAATAGCGTGTTTTGTCACTTTTGGTAGGTATGTTTAGTTTGTGTGTAATTCTATAAGTGATAAATATTTTTCTGTGGTTTGGAAGAAACTAATTCAAAGTTTCATAATTCAAACATGTTAGACTCAAAGGAAAACTGTAAAGTATAGCATGTCTAATGCCACATTATTTAACAAAGTGTCAATAACTAAGAGAGACAATAGGATTTTGATGCTATGAGCTATTCTTGAACTATTATTCCAATATCATGAACAATTGGTTATAGGTGGTTCATATGGATTGGGTACCCAATCCCTAGGGTCCCAAAGTCAGTGCCAAAAGATTATGTCATATTTTAAAATAATCTTGTGATCTAATAAAACCCTTCTTAAATTGTTCGAAATAATGCTACAACCATGTTGAAGTATAGTTTACTTCTCTAAGGCAAGTAAGGTCTATGTTTAGAACTTTCTTATACAACAACCCAAAGCAAACATGTAAATATTATTGCAAAGCATATATGTGTAAAGAACAAATATTGATTAGGTTTCCAACAACAAAAAACAGAATGCATCTAAGCAGGATAATTACTCTTTAACTTCTGCTGCATTGTGTATTCTGGTTATCTAATCATAATTAGAGATTAGCAATCTACTTGAACACTATGTTGAGTAACACCAACACCTTCTCACCATCCACTGCATCGGCTTATGTAGGCAGCGTCATGTTTGCATTGACCATAGTAATTGCAATTTGCTAGAGTTTTATATCCACAAGTATATAAATCATATTACCATTTTTGTTGCATTTAACTTCTTTAAAAAACAATTTAATTCCTATTAAGTTTCACACAAAAATTGTGCATTATGCCACTTTTTGCTAAACCTGTATGTGTATGTCTACTGAAAACTGGTTGAAAGAAATTGTGTTTATAAGATAAGAAAACATTGAAATAAGCAAAATTAAGCTCTAAACAATCCTTAGAGTTGAAATGGTTGGTTTTTGCACTATAAGTGTGTGAGACAGTTACAGTTTGCCAACCAAGCCTCTGCAATGATGACTAGCCAGTTGGTGCATTTGCAGTTGGTGATAAGATATCAGCAAGATAAATCATGAGTCTGTTATCACTAACTTGACCTTGAGGTCAATCTACAGTGTGTACAATTCAGCAATGAGACTGCTGTTATATTTAGTCAGCTGGGTTGGTGTTTGTTTACTTGATTAACATAAATAAATCATAAATCAAGTAGGTTTAATTTAATTACCTTTAGTAGTAAGCAAGCTATAGATTAAATTAGATTAAATCATTTACTTATAATAAGTGCTTATTTTCATCATAATAATCTAATTTTCATCACATTGTTCTCTATCTAACTTCTACTTTTTTCATTTTGAACCAGATGAAATTTATTAAAAATATTTTTCCTACAATTACTTGACAAAGCGGACTTTCTTGTACTGATTATAGCATACAAAGTAGCTAATTGCTGTATTTACTTTATTTTGCGCCACTAATTTTTTTTCACACCAGTATTCCAACCAAACAACACAAAAAAGTGTGCTTTTATTAAGCACGTACTACGTGTACGGTTGACAATAAGTTGGCAACACTTAAAGATACTACGACTACAATCAGCTGGTGTAGTTTTTCAGATTTTTTTCAATGCTTGATTTCTTGGTGTTTGAAAGACCACTTATTTTTAAATTATATTAGTAATTGTACGAAAAATATAATGTGTAACGTGAGTGCAAAGTGCCTTTGCTGCACACACGAAACTTTCCACACTCGCCTGGGGCTCGTGCGTAAACATTTCTTGTATGTGCAGCAAAGTGCCACTTCGCACACTAGTTACACAAATAAATATTCTTTTTCCAACCACATGAGCTGAATTCAAATGATTTTTCTTTTGCACTGAATAAGCTGTAGTCACATTCCTTTTGAACATGATGACTTGTTTCAAATAATCTCCCTTTTTACACCAGATTAGTTCCATTCAAATCATTCAAATTATTTTTTGTTTTAACTGTATGAGCTGTATTATTTTCTGTTTGAACCGGATGTGCTATATTAATCAGATGAGCCTTTATGTATCTTGTATCAGATATGATAAGGTCAGCCAGCAACAACAAGGTGAAAGCTACAGGACAAACACCTTGTACTGTACTTGAGTTACTATAAACTGTAATGTTCTTTCTAACTTTCTCTACATGCTACTTAAAAACAACTCATCAACTCACTGAACAGGCCTCAAGACAATTAACTGTTGTATCCTATTTGTACACAATAGTTTAGTCTTTAGATGGTTAAACTTATAATGAGCAAACTGTAAACAGTTTTAAAGTTTTTGGCCATAATTTGAATAAATAAATATTCTATAAATTTAAACATAAAATTGGAAAATAGTCTTGAGAACTAGTCACAACTGACTGACAAAGGGTATTTTATAAATTTGGCAGTTAATGATTGTGTTAGTGAATGTAAATTAATTTTTTTTTTAATTCTCTAATAGCACATCCATCTAGGTTTTGCTATTCGCAAATAGCATTCAGTGGTTAGTAAACTTTCCAAGTGTTCACTATTATTTGAAACTAAAATTAGATATATTTTTTAGGCTATAATATAAACTAAGCTATTCAATTTATCAGTGGTTAATAAAATGAAGAAAATGTATACTGTAAAACAAAAAGATTTTATATCAGATAAATGAACAGCACAGGTTTACATGATGTATTTCTAGATACATCAACAGATTGACAAACATTTTGGATAAAAGCGTAAAATCTGTGTGTCAAGGTTTACTAGTTTCCAAGACTGTTCGTGTTAGATCTGCTTTAGCTATTTGATATCGAAACAGAACTAAACCTAGTGAGGTGAAGCAACCAGCTATAAAAACCAAAATAGGCCCAAGTGTTATAAGGTTGCCACTGAGGTCAATCCTGTTTCAAGGAACTGAAAAACTAAGTGTTTGTGGGTGGTAGTGAGTTAAATTTCAACAAAAGTAACATATTCCTGCATAGTAACCGTGTTGCGTGAAATTAATGGTTTTAGATTTTCAGCTACTGAAATTAGTTTTTTGTTAATAATGTATTGAATAATTTTATTAATTTCTAACAATTATTAACATTCTACTCAGTATCAGGTTATGAAATTTGTATTAATACAGGTTCTCAGATTTTACATTTATGAAACCTACCTAGAGAATCCACGAAACGAAATAGATTAAACCTGATGCAACTTACAACACAAGTACCTAGTTTTTGAAAATCTCTGTTGGAATAAGAAGATTTGTCTGATTGAGAAAGAGTCAATGACTCAAGATGCAAAACCTTACATTATACAGAAAAATTAAGAATATTTAACTTCCCTGATCACTGACCAAATTAAACTCAGAAAGGTCTTCCAGAAAGTTGTCATTGGACCTTACCTAATTTTTTAACATAGGTAGTGTAAAATTTGTGTTTTTTGTGATGGACATCCTTCCAATCTAGCCTTATGGTTAATGTCTGGTGAGACCTTAATGTGACCACAGGTTCGATCCCTGGCATATCTAAAAAATTAGAGTGATTTTGACCACTTCCTCCGTTAAGCGATAGTGGTTTGTTATTCATCCTCGAAGTAATTCAGCAGGCGTAGATATTAACTTGAGATTTACGAGGCTTTTAAATATTCCATGTTTACTCAGTTTTCTTGCCATAGAATATAGATTTTGTTTCTCCATCCACAATCTGGTGTTACATGAAGTGGTATGTTGAGTTGCTAACACTCTGGGACGTTCAGTAGTCGTCTAATGAAGTGGTAATTGTCACTATGTGTTGGTTTGGTGTCCTTGGCGTAGTAATAGAGCAGAACAGCTGGTGGCGGTGGCACAGGAGCATTGACTGGCAACTAGGCCATGATATTGGGAAGGCCGGTCTCTTTAGTTTTAAGTTGTTTCTCGGTCAATCCCATTAAATCTTCTCGATATCTTTTGCTGCTTGAAATTTGAGTGTTCAAGGGTTATATCTGTTGAGGAGAATGCCTAGTTAATTTCAATAGTTATGAAATTAACCGGTTTTTGTAATTTATTGTTTAGTGTAAGTTAAGGGTCAGTATTTTGGCAATACCTGGTTATGACTTAGATGATGAGAATAAATATTTCAATTTTATGTAAATATTTCACTGCAGTTTAAGAAAAGATGAAATATTTCCCTCAATTTCTATTAAAAAATATTGATGTCTAGTGACATTAATTAGCCTGTTTTGTAAGGAAGCATGGTAGTTCTATGGAGGGTTACAGGTAGAGCGTTTGTTCTGTTTTTTTAGGATTATATAATTAGTGACTTTTCTATAAACGAGAATGTGTTTGAGAAATCAGTAAAATGTCTAATGAATAATAAAGGACAACAATTTTAAGATTCCCAGCACCCATAGATGAACTGTGTTGAGACAGTGATGTAAAAATGATACCATAAGAAGGTCTTAAGTGTATAATAACTTGCAGATCAGTATATTTGCTTACAAAGAAATTACGTTATTCTTGCTCGCTCCATGGGAAAATATAGTATCACTTTTACAACTTAACCTAGACAGCAATTTAAGCAGAAAATGATAGCAAGGTACCCGGCTGTCCTATAGAGCAAGGTATGGAGTGGATGATCTGGGTAGAATAGGACCAGCTGTTTATTTAGCCTAGATCATTAATTTACATCTCAATGATCAAGGACAGCTGGGTCCAGTTTTCAACAATCAAAAAGTTATTGCCTATTTTCAGGATAAAACCCTGGTCATCGACCTTCAAAATAATTGTTTTGTTAGTTTACTTGGAATATTTCAAAGATAAATAATCTTTGAAATACAGTACTAGTTTCTTCATAAAATTTTTAATATTGTTCGCAGCTGCCCCCGTGAAGCGAGAGCGGATTCCTGTGGATCCTTGTGAGAATTCTAACGACTCTGGTCTTGGATTCGACCACCACCTAGACTACCCCCACCAATCTTCACTGGTCTCCCATTCAGGGATAGAGGTGAGCCTGTAGTTCACTACCAACACCTTATTTTAAGTTATTACCCAGACAGCAACATTTACTTACGTTGCCACGATTGCGAATGACGATCACATTATAACCGAGATTGCAACATTTATTTGCGGGTGTTGCCGCTTCTGTGAGTGACGACCATGGTATTGTCGAGACCAACACTCGCGGTTAAATTTTGCGGTTATGTTTTCGTTTATGACCTCTCATTGCCACTGACAGTGATGCAACAAAACATTGTACCAAACACTAATTGCACCACTCTACAATTAAATTGGCCTGAACAGCTGATTATTTTTAAGTTTGAATCATTACAATTTTACTTTTTCTCTCTCAATCCTTGAACCTCATTGGTCCGTTCGTTACCCGTGTTGTTTAAACTATGCTTTAATGAAAATACAGAATGCTGTTGTGTGAAACTTTTCAATTCTAAGAACTGGACTGAAATGGCTACTTAAGAAAACGGTCGTAGGTGAACTGTTTAACAATTCTATAAAACAATATACACATAAAGGTTGGAATTTCAAAACTCTTGTCAGGTCTGTGTTGTTTCGTAATTTACTGTTTTGTAAAAATATCAAAGAGTTTGTTCACTCACGAATGAAAACAAGAAATCCAGCCAAGTGGGTTACAGCTGATTTACGCTCCATCATTCCACATCAGTCCATCACCAGAATAGAATGAAGCTTTGGAGCTATGATTGTGTAATCCCTTTATTGGGAACTAACAGATTTGTTGTCATTTCATAAAAAAATATCATCTAGTGGAGATTACAATTTGCTGCCACTGCAATTTTGTATAATTTTATTTAATTTTTTAAAGATTTGGAACTCAGAGGGTGTTTTTGGGTCAAAGCCTTAACCCTTTGAGTTTCATAGATTTTTTATTTTTCATTGGTTCATTCTTATAACCGACGTATTTTTAGCTTGTTTTTGTTTGAACACAATTTTTTCAGTAAAATTATAATTTTTAAATAGTTCTAATTGATCTACCCTTGCCTCGCAACGGGGTAAGGATACTTAAGAGAATAATCATTGTGGGACAGGGATCTCTAAATCTCAAAGATCAAGTTGTACCACATAAATTATAATTAAATCTATTAATTTAAAATTTAAACTCTATGAGAATTGTGTTTAGTGGCATAACTCACTACAAACACGGAAGAGGTTCTTAGCTGATAAGTCAATCGTGGTTCATATTAATTACTTCATTTGAAATATCTTTTCAGTAATGAGATCAATGTGTCTATTTGCTTAGTCATCCATTTTTGATACCTGTCAATATAAGTGATTTGATTGATGTTACAATGGTTTGAATATTGTTTTAGATATGTGTCGAGGTTAAAGAGCAGATTTAAAAAATGTGACAATTTAATCACTTCTGTTGATTGTTTAGCATAAAATATTCCCAAAAAACCAATAAAAAAATGGAGTCAGCATCTGAAAAGCAATTTTATTTATCAAATGCTATCTCAGTAAAAACACCTTCGAGATGAGATAGTCTAAATACTTTATACATACAGTAATAACTTGTGGCTTGAATTGTGTCTTTTTTCTCACGCCAGGGGAATTTTTAATTGAGTCAAATTTAGTTTTGGTGTTAACACTTTTAAAGGAAAGCAGTCCAACCGATTTACTGGGAATTGAATCCGTCCACTCACCACCGGGCTAACAACTCACCCGACTTAACTTAAACAAAATTTTGTACACTTAGTAGGCCCTACTGTTTCCATGTTAATGACCTCTTATTTGTAATACAGTTTAGTTATCAATTGCTTTTTCTAAAAACAAGTAATCGGTTATAACTAAGCTAGTAGAACTTAGATGAGCTTGTGTTAAAATGAAATGCAACAGCAGTTGACTGGGTTATCACGTATCTAATGAACTTAAGTTTTTATAATGGTCTACAGTGAGTCATAGTTATTCCTACTATCAGGTTGTATTATACTAAACTCCAATTAAAGCAGGGCCAATTAAAATTATTATACATACGTTTTATCGAATTTCCCTACAGGGAAATAGCTATAACTGTAGGTGGCACGGTAAGACCTAGACCCAGGACCGATTTCCTTTTCATTTCGATGTCCCAAGAGGCCAAAAACAGTATTTGTTAAAATTTATATGTAGATATGTGTCCGATAATATGATAACTCGAGTAATTTTGGTCTGAATTGATTGTCTTGATGGTAAAGGGCGGGATAAACTTAAATGAGTTTTGTGATCTATCAAGGTCATATGGTTTTGGGTTTTTAGGGTTTTGAAATGTTAAAAATGTTTTTTTTCTAATTTGCCACCCCTGAAACATAGAAATGCCAAATTTTAATTATGACCATCGTGTAGAGCTAAAAAACTCAAATAAATTTGTATATTGAAAGGTTGTTGTACAATTAAAGGTTATGGTGAAAATTCCAAAAACTGTACATTTAAAATTCCTATGTTATTCTTATGACAAAAAGAAAATTGTTGTAGTTTGCTTGTTAACCGATGTATGTTGAGCAAATTTGGCAAAATTTATTTATTTTTTGCTATACTATTACCATTTGGCCAAAAACTTTTTACCTTTTCCCTATCAGCAAAACTAATTACCATACTCGATAAAACTAATATTTTTTTAAGAAGAATAAGTATTACTTGTTTGTGCAAATATTTTTGTTTCTGTGGTGGGGGTGTTTGTATATTATGTTAGTTACAATAATTTGTAGAATCCTCACTTATTTTATTTACAGTATACAGTGTGTTTTTTTAATGTTTGGAAACTGGAATTAAAAACTTATGTTTTCAAATTTTTATTTACAAATCTTAACAATGCAGTGAAGGATAAACAATTTGTTTATTTGAAAGTCGGTTTTGTTTTTGAATAGATTCTTTAAACAATTCTTAAAATGGATAAAATATGTCAAATTACTACCCAAGCAGCAACAACAAAACCAATTCTTCATGTAATACTCAACAGGTTTCTAGTTTCCACATTTCATGTTATGTGACGACCTTGGAACACTCATCCATTGTCATATGTGGAACATGAACATGAACATATGTTCTATGCAGTTGCTCACTGCATGCGAGGAAGTGGGTCTTGTATTCAAGGTCGCCTGAACTAACCTAGGCCAAACATGTAGTAGTTGGAAATAGCACTACAGCTGTTAGTGAATGGCGGACGGCTCACAAGTCAATGTTGCCGACCTTAACCTTCCGAGTGGATCAGTTGTTGTGATTAGGCGAGTTTGTTTTTGGAAAGTGAATTGTAACGTGGAAGTAGTGTTTGAAAAGTGATAACTCGGTGGAGAACTGTTGGGAGTGAATTTGCTGATATATTACTCATACTGTCACGTAGTAATGGAGAGGTAAGGTTTTTGTAATTGTTGCTAATTGAAGTACCTGATTATTGTCAACAAAGATCGCAGTACCAGTTTGCTTGTTACTCTTAGTTATGCTTGCATTTAACTTTTGGAAACATATCTTTCTGGGCTTCCTCATTCCAGTATTGTAGGCTTGGGTGGTTTACTTGTAAAACGTTCAACAAATATTTGCAGTTACATATTAAGAATAGTAGTGGAGCTTCAGGAACTTAAAAGTATATATACTTACTATTTGTTGGCCTTAGTTTCTTGAAAATACAAGGACGATGACGTAAACCCATAACTTATGGGAAAATGTAGATAACGGTGTTGGTGTAAATAAGTATTTAAGAACAAACGCTTGACTTTGTCATACTGACTGATATACATATATTGCATCAAACATTTCAAGAACTAAGGCCTACCAAATGTAAATCAAAAATACTTAGTAGAAAGTAAAAACGTTTAATTCTCCACAGTACAACATTTTCCGAAAAAATTTACTATTGCTGCAATATTTTATATATTTATTTGCTGAAACAAATTTAACACATGAATATTTCTGTTGCCATTGTGAAAGTATTGTGATACTAAGGCATTCAATTGTAACAACATTGACAATTATCAAACTGTAAATAAATACAGGTTTACTGATGCAACCACAGATAACTGTGCGTACACATCGAGTATACATCTATAAGTCAGTTATAATACTCGTAGATAATTTTATAAATAAAGGCCACACTCAATAGGAGAAGGTGTGATTTTGTATGATCCAAAAACATTTTACAATAATAATAATAAAATTTATGATTGTATACAAATTTTGTCTACTTATCGTAATGAAAGTGTATTGGGTGACAGATAAATAAATTTACACTGTAATCAAACTGATACTAATCAAACTCTTAGCTGCTTTAATATTTAGCTTGCACAATTTTTAAATCCCTAAATAAATGTTTTTTTTAATTTTCATGGAAGTAGTTGGATTTAAAACTAACAGATAATTTAAACAGTTATTGTGGTTAGTAACGTTTTTTTGAATACTCATTTCAAAGCTATTTTTGTTCCTCATACTGTAGGAAAATTGAGTTAGGACTAAACTAAAAAGTCCGAAAGAGACAAGTGGGTGACAAAGTAGTTTCCTGCACCAAAGATAAGATGGTTGGTTTTACTGGTCGGTTTACTTTTAAGATTCCTCATTTTACATGATTGCTCAGTTTTACATGATGATGTAATGCCCCTAACAACATTTTTCAACAACAGATAAGTAGTAATTAGAGAAAAATGTGAAAATACTTGTCGGCAATGACCTAGAACGGGACATATGAGTCAAATAATGTTGAGATGTCATATCAATTAAATGGAGGTTAAGTAAGCCAACACAACTTTAGCAGAAAAAAAAAACATAACCGAAATGTTGAAATTTAGTAGTTGTGCCTTATAACAAGTTGTCCTACTATTAATTGCATTGATCATAGGGCTATATCAACTCCAGCTATTTTGTAGTGATTATTGTGTAGAATAATAATGAAATGGGCATTAAGTTATTGGTGAATTGGAATTATGAGCCTGACCTTTATGTAACACAGTTATGCCAAGCACATTTAGAAAATTGAACAACATTCACACCTATTTGACAAATTATACAACAAAAATATTCAGTTTTGCAAAATAATGTTTAAACTGATTAATTTGAATGCTCAATAGATGAGGAGATTATAACAAGGCTTAATGAGATGATTTGTCTTAGCTTAAATGTTTAAATTTGGTTCGGCTATAACCTGAAGAGAAGCCAGTAGCTTTTTGATGTTTTGAAAAGAAGTCAATTTTTATTTGATCGTTGGTCTGTTAATAAACAGATCTCACTCCATTGTAACCTCATCTTTCACTCAAATTCAGAACAAAATTCAAAATACATACCTAGGTGGCATTGCTGTCTCCGACACTCTTCCTTCTCTACAAGTGTCAAGACACAAGAGTTAACTGTAATGTTAAATATGTGCAAATTCTTCTACACACACTGATCTACCTGAACCTTCCCCTCAAAGATGATTTGTTGTCATTGTTGTTGTTTCTGTTACAGACAAGCTGGCCGGGAGAAGAGCCGCCAGAAGTGAAAAGACGAAGGCTGGAGATCAAGCTGGAATCAGATGACGCCAACGACAACTTCACCTTCCAGGAGGCGGTGCGGCAGCAGACCATCTGGTCAGTTGAACACCTTTTACACTTGAAAAATATGTATAATAGACATTTTGCTACATATTTTCCTATGTACTTTGAACAAAACTGAAAAAGTTATAAAAGTTTTATAAGAAATCTTCACAGTGTAATCTTAATTAACCACTCTTCAAACCGTTCATCTTTAAATAACATATCTTTACTATAGTCAAAGTTTTGTTAAGGCTGGTAAGATAGCATATCTTAAATAAAGAAGTCCGGCTATTGATGGATTCTCTCGTCAATCTCTGTTATCTGTCACTTATTTTGCTATTTTTACTCTATGTTTTTGGCTCGTTGCAGTTTTATAGCAAATTTCGTCTCCAGGGATGATTCTGATTGCTAGAGCCTTTTAGGTTGAGTTACGTTTAACCAAACATTACTTGAGATACTTGATACAATATGAATAATAACCAACGCTAGTTTTGTTCTCCATGATCATGATGTCTACTGTCTATGTCCAGTGTGCCAGTGCGCAGACTGGGTCGTCCTGCTGCTCCTCTCACACTCAGCTCTCAGCTGCTGAGTACCTCTCACAATGGGATGGTGCAGCTGCTGATCATATGTCAGCCGGAGCAGCAGCACCGCGCCAGGTACCAGACTGAGGGCAGCCGTGGCGCTGTCAAGGACCGCACTGGCAACGGTTTCCCGGTGGTTAAGGTAGGTTCAAAGTACAAGCCTACGATGTTTGGAATCTGGGTGTGAGAGTAGCATGTAAGATATGGTCCTATACAGTGGAACTTCTTGGTGGGTTTCACCTAGTAATGGTTATAGCTTTTTGCATTTATCAGCAAAACTAGATAGAAAATTATTTACGGTGAACAATTACAAGCATGATAGTTTTCTCAGTAATTAGCTCAAAGAGTACAAAAACAGTTCATCACTAAGGACCCAAATGCCTTTTTCGTCATAGTGCCTCAAAAACAGCCGTTTTTAACCATTTGTTTAACCAAATGTTAAACATTCTGAATCTTTCTGACGCCATTGTATTTCTTAAAGAAATCACAAATAAAGAAAATTGTCTATTGTCTATTGTCTATTGTGGGTCTCTTTTTCTCGCTTGAGAGTAAAACTCAGTTACTTTGATTGTAAGTAATCGCACGCATCGAAAGTACGTATTGATTTTTTTATATCATTTGCAGCTTATTGTTTCTTGTCAATAGGTTAGCATATCGATACACCCACACAATTGTCCGTGATAGTTATTTGTGTAACTAGTGAGCAAAGTGGCACTTTGCTGCACACGAGAGCAACGTTTACGCACTCGCCTGCAGCTCGTGCGGAATGATCTCGAGTGCAGCAATGGCCTTTTACACTCATGTTACACATTATATTTTTCCTACAGTCACTATAAAGCATATAAATAATTAGTCTTTCAAAAACTACACAACACGTTTTTAGTTCAGCTGGCAACACAAATAGGTGCCCTAGAGAGAGTAGTCCCCAGTCCGTATCACTAGGCTATTTTTTCCTTCGACTTGAGAAAATAGTTCCGTATATTTTTGTAATTTGCAGTGGTTCCCGTCCTAAAAATGTGCTTTAAGGTATTTTCTTGTTTATTAAGATCGTAGGAATGTTTTAAAAACGTTTAAAAGAAAAGTCCAGAAAGTTCAGAAATACCGAGAAGAGAACATAAACTATACACACGAAATGACAGGTTAAATCGTAGTTATAATAGTCAATCAGCTGCTCATAGTATTATTATCTTTAAGTGTTGCCAACCTATTTCCAAGCGTACACGGATTACGTGCACTGTTTTGTGTTTTTTCGTTGGAATCCTGATGTGCGCCAAAGTATAAACCGACAAAGGATGAACCGTACGACAAAGTATAAATATGCAGCAATTAGCAGCTTTCTGTACTATAAACAGTACAAGGAAGCCAACTTTGTTGGGTGACTGTAGGAAAAATAATTTACTTAAAAACTGCTTGTTTATATTAGAAAATTTGAAGTATTTTTGAGTGATTATATTTACATAAAAAGTATTTTTGTTCTGTTGGGTCAAATAGAGTCACTATACGCCCTTGTGATGAAATAAACTATGTGACTTGCACATTTCTATACCTACGGACCTTACATATTTTAATTGGCAACACATTATGATGTTTTCCAGTTGGTAGGCTACGACCGACCGTCCACTCTCCAGGTGTTTATAGGCACAGACCAGGGTAAAGTGGCTCCCCACATGTTCTACCAGGCGTGTAGAGTCTCAGGGAAAAACTCCACTCCTTGTGTGGAGAAGAAGATTGACGGAACTATTGTCATAGAAGTGGACATTGAGCCTTCCAAAGATATGGTTGTCACGTGAGTAATCCACTTTTCATGTTGGTACTTTATTTTTTATAAACCTCGACTAGACATTTCTTTCCTATTTATCCAGCTCTACTGGTTCAATGTGGATTATTTTAAGTAAACATGTAACTTACTAAACTCAAAAGTACCCATTATCGAAAGAAGATTATCGAGAAAAACTCCAGTATTCTTCAATACTTAGTTGAAAAGCTCTTCATGAACCTAATAACAAAACCATGGTTTGGACAGTCCACTCGTAAAAAACGGAAAATTGCTAATTTTTTAGACACAATTTTGCAATCCATGTTTCTGCCTCCAAGGTGTGACTGTGTGGGTATCCTGAAGGAGCGCAATGTGGACGTGGAACACAGGTTCCCTGAGGAAGGATCTGGACGCAGCAAGAAGAAGTCCACGAGGTGTCGGATGGTGTTCCGGACAACCATTACACACCCTGATGGAACATCGGAGACACTACAGGTCACCTCCCAGCCTATAGTCTGCAGTGAGTAGATACCAGTTTGTTGATACTTAGGTAATAGGATATAAAAAAGTGTAAGGTGTATCAGTGGAACTATGGCGAATCATGCACTCTGGCTTGAACAAAATATTGGCTACAGCTCTTCCAAATAGATAGAAGGTCTACTTTGGTATGTATAAAGGTTATTGGTGAAACTTAAGAGGGCAGATTGTGTGCATTTTTAAGTGTAACTTTTTTTGAAAATTTCATTTAAATTACTTATCAGAAAACCCAACCAAACGGTACATTTTAAATCAGATTGGTTTAGGACAGCTAGTGAATATCTTTTTGGTATGTTGTAGCTCAACCGCCCGGAGTGCCAGAGATCTGTAAAAAGTCGCTGTCGTCGTGTGGCGCCCGTGGAGGTCAGGAATTGTTCATCCTGGGCAAGAACTTCCTGAAGGACACTCGGGTGGTTTTCCAGGAAGAATCTGGCAGTCCTGGGTGGGTCCAGGCAGTACAACCGGATAAGGAGTTTCTACAACAGGTAAGATGGGAGACAAGAAATTAATATGCACATGGTCTAAAACACATGGAGTTGCAATAAAGTAAAAAATCTATAATGCATTTCCTCTTTCTGGAATATCAATATATTAAATGTTGAACCCTCCAGTAGTCTGCTATAACTTTTGCGACAAGTTTCATCCACAAATTGATATCTTCAACTCTCCATTGGCATTTTATTAACATTAATAAATTTAATAGTGGAATGGCCTCTGGGTCGTCCGAATTAGCTGTATAGTGGTTAAATTACCTTGTTACTGTCGAAAAAATCCTTTGTAGTTGGTTAGGACTACAGCTGTTTCATGCTTCGGATGGAACACATCGTCAGGGTCAAAAGAATGTCACATACTCATTGAATATTCCTCGTAGAGCTCGTCAAAAGTTAAATAATAAATAAGTAACAAAACACATAACACAGGGAAACGCGAGACATTTAGCACTGGTCTAACAGACGAATCACCCTCATCCGGCGCCGTATCATGTGTGCTGTTACCGTCTGGTCGACACAAGTGCTAAATGTTTCGTGTTTCTGTGTGTTATGTGTTTTGTTACTTATTTATTATCAAACTTTTGACAAACTCAACTATGAGGAATATTCAATGTACAATACTTGACATTCTTTTGACCTGATGATTTGTTCCATCCAAAGCAGGAAACAGCTGTAGTCCTAACCAACTACAAAGGATTGTTTCAACAGTAATAAGGTAATTTAAACCACTTAGTTAATAAATTTAAATCAAAAAGGGAGCTTTAGGATGACTTTCTTGACAAAAAACAATTGTAATAGTTAGCAAAACATCATAAGGTCTGTTTAAAATTTGAAATATTTTGATTGGCTCATAGTTAAAACACAAAGAGATGCACATGTTCTACAACAACAAAAAAAGTTGTGTGTGATCTAAACAAATTTGAGTTCCACAGAAAACTCAGCTCCTGTTAGAAAACCTATTGTATCATACCTTAAAATGTAAAATGGATATAATTTCCCTTTAAAATGATCAACTTCCAAGACACAGTTGGCAGTTTTTTAAGAGTTGTGAATTGTTTGCCTTTAGTCCCACCTGGTGTGTGTGGTGCCGCCATATCACACAGTGGACATCTCAGAACCAGTGACAGTGAAGCTTGTGGTAGAGTCTAGTGGCAAAGCTAGTGAGGCGCACCCCTTCCTGTATCTTCCAGAGGACATGCGGCCAGGCGCAAGTACAGGTACATGAAGCCTTCAGGCGCACCAACAACCACACACCACTCAGGGCTCTCCTTCCTCTAATATCCTACCTGTCACACTCGTTACAATTTGTACAAGTATTGGAATAGTAATTGATTTAAATACATTCTAACAATTTATTTAAAAGGATTTTATTGGTGACTTTATTTCTTTTTAAATCTTTGGACAAATTATTTAAAATGTTGATAAAACAATATGTAATAAGTAAATTTACCTTTTCGTTTTACAGTAATTTTGATATTCTTTATTAAAACCCACCTTTGCCAACTGATTATTGTGGTTCAAAAATAATAAAATTCAGATTTTGATTAAAAAATTAAATAGATAAGCTCAGGTGATACATTTTTATCCATCTCATTTAGAGTAAGGTGTGAGTAAATTATAAAGTGATTAATTTTACTAACAATTATAATTGGTGTCAAGAAAACGTTTTGAAAAAAAATACAATTCTGAATTATTGGTTTTCAACCAAGAAATTATTTTAAATTTGAACTCAGTTAAATAAGACATGATTTTGTTAAGTACAATGTAAACATTGGAATTGTGATTCATTTGTATAGATATTGTCAGATAAAAAATTAAATCATTCTCAAATTAAATGTGATATATGATGTGTATTATTGCTAACTGGTGATTTATTTATATAATCACAAATTCATTTGTTATGGTTTGTTTGATATTTTGAGTTCTCTGTACAGTTTAAATTTGGTTTTACTGTCTTTATATTAGAGACACCTAACTGGATGATTTGGCTAGTTACTTTCTCAATATGATCTTTTGATCAGAAAATCAAATTGAAACAAAATTGCAAACAGCATTGAATAATTTTGCAACATAACTAAAGAATTTGAGAATTGAAATAATTTGAAAAGTATTTAACAGTGATTGTCATAACCCTTAAAAAGGTCCAGCCATATTTATAAAATTTGAGATCTAAAGGTGAATTCTGTGGCAAAATAGCTTGGGACATAAAAAATTAAATTAATTTTAACTAGAGATAGTGGCATTTTAAAGATTTTTCTTAATAGCACACTTTCTCTAGTTTTATGTGCACATATGAAACAGTGGTGCATCTGCTTTTGTTTCTGGTTGCTGATATTTAATATAAATAGTTTCAAAAATTCAATGGGTGTTCGTTTAGTAGTTATGTTTAAATTTGTAAAATGTTGACACCTGGACCGTTATTTTTATAAAAAAATTGAATGTTTTGACAATCACTGGTAGAAATTTGAGAATTATGTAAGTAATAAGATACAAAATTGTGAATTAATTTGCTAGCATTATAGCCTTACTTTACTTTAGTATCTGAAATGCACTAGTTTGTTTGCTAATTTGTTTATTTTATGCTGTCCTCCTCAGAAACTTGTTTTCTCATATTAACTTTTTTGTTTCACCTAAACAAAAATGTTAAATGTATTTTATAAGTTTTATAAAAAAAAATCACTAAAATCTATAAAGTACTAGTGCATCTTAGATGATAATTTTGTGTTTATGTTTAAGAAAAAAATTTAAAAGTGTGAAATGGTGAACACTAGCAGAATTGATTATAAATTTACTTTGTCAGAAGATTTATTGCTGTATATGTTTTTTCAGTAAACCCTCATCATTCAGGGCTAATTGGGGATCATAACCTTCTGTATTGTTGAAAATAAGAATTATATATACATTTTATAAAAAGAGAGACAGCCCCTATTCTGTGCCTTTGGATACACCTTTAATGAAAAGATTTTTACTGGCTTGACACAACAGTACCAGTACTTGACACACCATTCTACTGAAGAACTGTAAATTTTGCAAAAAACTACGTAGTTAACAGTGGTGCATTCCACGTAGTTATTGACATTAACCAAATCTATACGGTACAGTTTGATGAGGGTTTGCCGTACTAAGTGACTTTTCTAATAATAAACAATAACTGATTTAACTCAACTATTGGTTTGTTTATGTGAATTAAAATCAACTTTCTGGTCTTCACTGTTTCCACCTACACTGTAAGATAATTTCATCTCAGTTTTATTGGATGGATCAGCTTTGAACTAGTGAAGTTGAATAATTAGTTGGCAAAGTCAGCTTAGCGGAAGGAGAGCTCTGACTCAGACATCGGCCAATCACGGCTTGACAAGCATGATCGGTGGCTGGGTAAGAGAATCGCGTTACCTTTTGTCCAATGAAAGCCGTGATTCGCCGATACATGTACAGAGAGAAAGGTCGAATGAATGGCGGCTTGAGAGTTGCATGATATTTAGCTTAAGACATTCTATGATATTGTGTCACTGTAAGTGTAACTAATGGCAAAGAATATTTTAACAAATTCAGTCAGTTTAAATTTTTAAGTATAATAATAAAACTCAATGTAAAAAATCAACAATACTGATATTGATTTTACTGTGACACAATTTCATGTTAATCTAAGTAGCAACTTTCATACAAATTTTCCTCGGTTTTAACAACACATTTGTATGAGGGTTGTTTTAATTTCAATGGCAGATTGACACTGGTATGATTGAGTAGCGTGAATTGATGACTGAGAATGAAAGCGGTCGAGTGATTATGTTTGGTGTGTTATTTGCCATCTGCTACAATGCCACATTTTCATTATGAATCAACAAAATTATTTTGGGGGGAAATTTTTAATCTAAGGCGGATGTGGCATTATTTAAAATATTTCTGGTAACAGGAAGAGATTTCAAATTTAACATTTTTTGCAGCTTTAATGGGGTTGAATCCATAAATAAACATCTCCTGTTACCTTGTGTTGTTTTCGTATTGGTGATTTGTGTTTGCTTGCACCGTTGTTTTCAGCAGCAGAATTTCAGGTAGACAGGTGATCGGTGCGGCAGCCAGCGTGGACGTGGAGGGGGAAACGTCGCAAAACCCCTTCAAGGTTGTCATCTCTCGGTGACTAAACAGTAGAGTTCATATCACTCATGGCACACTGTCTGTAGGCCTTAACAGTATCAACACCGGCTACAAGTTTAACTTACTTACTTGTGCACTAAGTGAAAGTTTGGTTAAAAGTCAATCTTCTAGTATCCTTAAGTGGTTGAATTGGTTTAACTATAGTTTGTAAGTTACAATTTAGGTTTACTTCAACAAATATACGTCCTAGTTTACTTTAAATACACAAAGTGTCAATTTTTATTGAGTACATTTGATTTTCTCACCTTACTAGGTACTTTCTAGACATGCTGAAAATTAACAAACCCCTATAGATAATTTAAATGATTTATTATCTCCTAAGTCATCAAAACCTTTAGTTTCCTTTTTATATTAATTATTTTTCATGTCTAATACCTGTTATTTAGAAGATAATAAAATAATGTGAGAATGTTTTATATTAAAATATGTTCCTGATTTTTGTTCAATTATTTAAATTATATTTTGATCCAAACATCCTTTTTTTAGGTTAACCGTTTTACTGTAGTTTAGATATAGTATAAATAAGTAGTTAATATTATTCTCTCTGGTTCATTAAAGTGCTAGTTACCAATTTGTAATTTCTTTAAAGTTTACAAATTTTATAAAATGAGTACCAATGAATTACAGTAGCTTAATCTTTTTATAATAAAAACAAAATTTTTTCTCCGATTTCGATTTGGAAACAAGAATTATTTGTCAAGGATATTAATTTTCCTTCTGATTGGTGATTAAAAACTTCTTGTTCATGCAATTTGACAGTGGGACGTATTATATAGCGTGTTATTTTTAGCGCAGTTGATGAAAAAAGCGGTGAGTGAGATTGTTATGGCAATGTATGACAGTGTGCGTTAACATTCATAGTTAGTAATAGCAGCGTCCAAAACTACCGCTTCACGGTACCAAGTAAGTATGAATCTGTGTCATACATTCATTCATGATAGAAACTCATCCAATCGGAAATGAATTAAACTCAATCAATACAAGCTGTGGTGTTAAAACAAAAACTCCATTTTGATTCACACAATTTGGTATTTTTTGGAATGTGAGTGGTATAAAAAATGCTTTGGTTTTGAAAAACTATAAAAAAATGATTTGTTGTTAAACTTTATGTTACATTTTTTTTAAAAGTAACTTTGTTTAGTTTTGACAGTCAAATGATGCGTGTGAACACGAATAAATTTTCATAAACGACAGCATTTTGTGTTTGCTCTGGTATTGTTCTGTATGACACTAAAATATAATTGACCAAGTAAGTCTCATTCATTCTAACTGAGTATGAAAGTTCACTTTAAAGCCGTAAAATTTTTTCTTGATAATTTTTTATATTTAAAGAAATTTGAGAGAAAAATTTTGTACGATTCTGTTGCAGGGGAGCAGTAGCAGAAGAAGAGGACTGAAGTAATATTTTACTTTACAGCGTGAAGGCGAGCGGATAATCATACCCTTTTAGACCGCAGGGGGCAATGGCAGTGTGCGTGTGTGCAAGTGTGTGAGTGAAAGGGTGTTTGGAAACTGACTGTCCACCTACCTGATTGGCAGGAAACTATTTTGCAGTCAAGTTTGATTTTCATTGGTTAGCAATTACACAGAACCTTGATAACAAGTCTCACATGGGGATGATGACATAAGACTTGTTATCAAGGTTTGTAATGATATTCATTGTAATGAAGGGGTATTCTATGCGAGTTTTGAGTGGTTAACATGTATCGTTTGTCTTGAATCCCATTATCTCATGTGGTTACCATAGCTTCAACACATCTCATTCAACCGAGAATATTTCAATACAAATTAGTCTATTTTAACCTTGTGAAAGTTACACATAAGACACGAGACACATTTTTACTCACAAAACATTTATTTGCATTTCTAGTGCTCTGGCTGGTGAAATACTAGTCTATCTGTGTCTTCCGTAATCAAGTATAAAACCTAGTATGTTTACATGTTGAGCTTTTAAAAAAGTAACATAATGACCTATGAATTGATTTCTATGTGAATACTTTCAGCTGGGTGTGGTTATAACTTAAATTTGTGGAAATCATAGTAACCTTATGAGTTAAAGGATTGAAGATGAATGGGACAGGTAAACCATTAATGATTCAATCATTTGGCAAAACAACGAAGAATAAATAATATCATCGTAAGTCTTGAGTTTTGAAATTCTCTTCATTTTGGGGGAAATTTGTGTTGATATCTCATCCATTTTGTTTATGAATTGTTTTTAACAAAGTTACAATTATTACGCTTACGTTGTATAGATATTTAATTGAAAATATTTTTATTTGTGGGATGTATATAAAGGGAGTTTGAACAGTACAGTAATCAGTAATACCGTATTTAAAGTTCATAAAGACCTACTTTTGGTGTTAAATTTCAATTTTAATCCAATCAAATCATTCAATTGGTTTTAACTTACATATTTTATGGTTTATTCTTAATTATTTTATCCCCCCAATATAATATTTACACCTACCTAAGAATTAGTGTGATTGGTTTCTGAAGATGAAGAATTAATTTTATTTAGACCTGCTGTCCTTCTTTTCCACTCATATTTTCCTCCATGAATGAGTGTATACCTAATTCACATATTGTGCATAAACAGTCCCAAATAAAATAGTAGTTTTGTTATTGATAAAACCTCAAAAAGTTGTAATCATAAAATCTATTGTCTCTGTTGTTTGTAATTATTACTAAAGACTAATGACTTTATCACACTTATTGCTGAAAATCATTAAATTTTACCTGAAATCCTAAATTGCCATCAAAGTAACTTTTCATTGTCAGGATCATTATAATTTATTTATAAAACACAATTTACAAAAACTTTAGACTCTGTTAGTAGTTGAGCCCTTGGATCACAGAAAACTTATTACAGAGTGTGATTCCTAATTGGCGGAAAACTGATATTCGCTCATATCATTACCGTTTTCTATGACAAGACATTGCATAGGGGTGAGAACTAACTACAGTAGAACAGTAATGAGGGAATTAAATGTGTCACCTAGGTTAGGTAATTTATAGATAACCCTACCATTCTTTGCCACCTTTTTGTAATCTATGGTACCAAATCAAAGTATAATGTTTCTAAGTAATATTTCTCCTGTTTACTTGCCATCCCATCCCTGTGTTGGTGTGATGTGTTGTGACCCGCATGATTGCGTCCCCTCCAACAGATCAGTTTCTTCACACAGCGTGAGACTTGGTTGTATGTTGTGTGTGAAAATGTGGCTTTACCTTTTGCGGTCGTGCCACTACAGCCAGTATTTACTGTTAATTTCTTGATTTTGTAATTTTATCTTAGTGAGATATTTTAAATCCAGAGTAAAATAAATTTTCCACTGTAAAATTATTTGAAAAAAGTAAACGCAAAAACTGTTTTGTACTTTTTGAATTGTTTACTGGCTTGGTGGCTTCTCTTCCTTTTTCTTTCAGGACCTCCAGTCTTCAAACTTTATGAATGCTTGATCTACATTTTATACTAATCCAGTTTGTTTTGCTGCAGTTTTGACCCAGGAAGGAAACATTCTCGACAGTTCTGTTTCCGCTCAAGGTATGTAACGAGATTTTCATTTCTTTTGTAGTTTTCCTTCACTTGACATTGTTGCATGCGTAGGTATTTTCCACTAAGAGTATTTTTTGTATAGAGCACAGAGTAGAATTTAATTTTAGCTTTATGATGCAGTTTAGCAAAATCCTTTTTGATGTTTTTATTGTAGTTGTGTTTTACTACGTAATAAACAATTCTTTGAGGGCTCGTGGTGGGCTGACAGTAAAATATATGCTATAGTGTAGGCTAGTTATTAGTAAGTGTATGTGTAGGTAAGGTAGAAAAGACTCAGTAGAGCTTGGTAATTATGGTCTATAAAAGTTGGTAAGATTTTTATTTTACAGCTCCTACTTTTCCATTTGAGGTGAGCCAGGGTTTTGCCAACACACTTCCCTTACCAAACCTAACCCAAGATAAAAAGAGGCTTTTAATGTTTTTTGTTAACAAACATAGCCTTAACATTACCAATCCAAATCTTATCATCTGCAAGCATTACTATTTTATCTTCTGTGCAATGACTCGCCTTTATGGGAAAAGTAAAAGAAAACATTATACAGTAAATTCTCGCAAACTCGACAGTCGACAACCTGTGTATGGATGTTTTGTTGAAACCGCGATGATGCATTTTTCACATTTACACAGGTGTTACTGACAACTTTAATGGTGAACTAAAACACCTTTTTGTTTCAATAGTTACACCGCCCCTGTTGGATGTAGTGAAACATGTGAACATTATGATTAAGACCAGGACACCTGAGTCAGGCATACTCGACAAATGAAGCGCTAGACTTCAGTCTAATCTGACAGTCACAACTAAGAGTCATTTTGCTTTCTGCAAGCTGAATTAAAATACTTTAATGTTATGGTAATATAAACACTGTATCTTCAAGTGAGAAATAAAAAAAGTTACAAATTCTTGGCCCTTATTCCCGATGACTTAGCGTTTCTCAAACTCAGCATACCTCCAGTCTGCATTATACAGAGTTTGTGAGAATGAACTGTAATTCTTACATATTATCCCTAAATTCTCATAAAAAATAATATGGACAGTAATTATGACACCAGTTTCCAAACCCAAGGCACAATAATGAATAAATGTTTTCTTAAAGGCATCAAAATCTCGATCAAGGGCTTTTGAGAAAAATATAGATTTATCAGGCCTACTATTCTTGGTTTAGGTCTCTTTAAAACAAACCATTTTTGTGTTTACTATATCTACTTAAGGAATCTGATGAGAAAAGAAGAAAGAAAGTAGATATTTTTTAGTAAACCTTAATTTACTTGGTATTTTTGTAAAACCTTTCTGTAATCTTTAAAGAATATTTTTAACAGTCTAGAAGTATTCCTGGAAAATTTACTCCGTGCATTTTTATTTATTAAAAGACCTAAAGTAGACACAATGAAACCAGGTAAACTAAGATTTGCTAAGATTTACTCGATCCACAGAGAAGTAAGATACAGAGGATACAAGCTTATGGGACAACCGTGCGCCCATAGCTCTGGTATGTTGGGGCGGAAATGTACTAGTTTCAAGCAAGCAAGAGCCCGAATGGCGATAGCCTCATAGCATATTTGTACAGCAGTTGTACCACACAGGGTCTTCTTACCGCGTGAGCGCTGTGGTACATGATGGCGAGGGGGTAAAGGAGAGCAGAAGGAATTTGCCTAGACACCAGCGACTGGTGCTAGACACCACCAAGTGTGCTGTTGAATGTATCCTCCGTTTCTGACTTCTCTGTGCTTGATCGAAGAATAATATACGTGGACAGTTCAGGTTTATTAATGCAATAGAGGTATCATTACATTTATTTAATTTAGTGTATTTTATCAATTGTTTCATAGACGAGACAAAAAATGTAAGTGTAGTAGTATATCTGCTCAGCCCATCTTGCCAGAAACTACACAGGCTGGATTGAATTTTGCTTTGTGCTCATATCTTCTAGTTTTATTCGCTTCTTGTAATTCCACACACGAAGGTTGAAGACATGCCAAATAGGTTGCTGTTTGGTCTTTTATTCCTCAATTATTCTTAATATCCAGCAACAATTACAAACAATTGTAGAATAATTATGTTTTTGACGATTCTTCTATTTTTTTGTCAAAGAACTGTACTTGCCAAGTAACAACGGGACCCTCGTGTGTGGAACCTCTTAATATTTTCCTATCCTGTTTTTCTTGCAGCAAAGTTCCTGAAAGCGACTGGTGCTTATAGAAGTCCTTTGCTCACCAGGAGGAGATATAGAAATGGTGACGAGATTTTTAAATCTGTTATTAAACTACTAATTAAAATTATTTCTTTACCTTTTAAAATATAAGATTTTCAGTTAGTCAATGGGTCAAAAAAGCTTTAAAGAGTTTTATAATAGAGATGAGGGTTATCTAGTTAAAATCTGCAATCACTAACTGTAGAAAAATTATAGAAAAATTATAGAAATTTATATTCGTTAACTCTTTATATCAACTATATCAACTCAAGTTTTAATAAAGATTAGCCCATGTTTACTGGCTATTTATGTGTGTTCTCAAAGTAGTTTTTGTTGCTTTAGAGAAATTGAACAAATTAGTGATTCAAATGTTCACATTCATCTACTGTAGCGATGTTGTTATTTTGAATCACAGATCAGCAACTTTTTCAATAGCAGTGTTCTTCCTTAAACCAATGAATACACAAACTATAAAGAAGAACAGGTCCTATGGACAATATTCTAACAGTATTTTCAAATTTGGCACCCAAAATATCTGTAGTTCTGCACTGAACCACCACTCAGCGCTGTAGTCAAGTTTAGCACGCGGTGAAGTGCGAGAGAGAGCGACATACACTGTTTTCGCCCCCTCTCTCTTTCTCTCGTGGCCTGGCCCACAGGGGACGAAAACAGTGTATGTCGCTCTCTCTCGCACTTCACCGCGTGCTAAACTTGACTACAGCGCTGAGTGGTGGTTCAGTGCAGAACTACAGATATTTCGCGCGCCAAATTTGAAAATACTGTTAGAATATTGTCCATAGGACCTGTTCTTCTTTATAGTTTGTGTATTCATTGCTTAAACTTCAGACTCACCTCATTGTGATCAATTGCTATTGTTTTGGGCATAATTATATTTGCCCCAATAATTCAATCATCTCAGCTCCAAAACTCAAAGCCTTTGAATGGTCATTTTTTGAAATGGTTAGTAGACCTAAAGTTTGACCTTTTTGTTTATCCTGAAATTTGCTTGAAATCAATTTAAAACCATGTACATGTATGAAAGAGAAATTACAGTAAAAGCCCGCTAATCCGGCATCCGATGATCCGACACTTTTAATGATCCGGTATCAGTCTAAAAAAACTTTTTGAATACTGTTTTAATTTAACATATTAGTGTATGTGATAGCCAATGTCGGGAGCAAATAACAGACATTGGTAGCACTCAGTTAAAAGCAAGAGCATTTTATTAAATTTTTTTAGCATTTTATACCACTAATTAAGTTAAAGAAAGTACAATAAGACACAGAATAATGGCCTGCCGGCCAACAATTTCCTTTCAGCTATAGAAAGTACAATAAGACATGGAATAATGGATTTCCATTTTATGCTCTAAAACTATTAGCTTTTCGCTTGTCGCACGTTCAATAATCCAGCATTTTCAATAATCCGGCACCAAAAAAGTCCTGAATTTGCTAAAACAGCGAGCGTCTACTGTAGGAGGAAATAAGTGTCATGTTAAGATATAGGTTTGTAACTTGTATTAAACACACACCAAAAGAGCATGTTGAAATATGGGAAATCCATATTGATAGTGGCTCTAAATAATTTGACTAGTATCTAGTCATAGTTGGGAAAGTTAGTCAAAAATTCTAACTAGTTAGAAGTTATAAGTTAGTCCCGTAAAAAGTAACTGATAGAAGTTATAAGTTAGTTAGTTTAAAAAGTAACTGATAGAAGTTATTAGTTAGTTGAAAAACTAACTGATAGAAAATAAAGTTAGTTTTAGTAGAAATTAGTTGTTTGTTGGGCAGTTGTTTTAAAGTATTTTTTAATGTCTCATCTTGGTTACTAATATATACTATAATATGAGTAAAGATTGCGCAAGATATGATTTTAAAAATGGCTCCTACGATTTCCTCCAATTTCAATGCTATTGAAAATTGCTTGTACAGGGTGGCGCAGATGGATTGGGTGGTTTTAAAATACTTGTCAAACTGTCAATTTTAAAGGTATTGGATTGAAATAAAGTGTAAAACGTGTAGTTACAATGGAAGTTTATTGACAAAAAATTAGTTAAGTTAATTTTTAAAAATTATATCAATTAAATGCCTTCCTTCTCGAGCGACGCATTCTTGGAGTCGGTCTTCGAGGTTCCGCATTTCTCGCTCAAGCACATCACCAGGAATTGATGTGATTTCGTTGTAAATTGCAGCCTTCAACTCCTGAATGGTCCGGGGTTTGTTCATGTAGACCCTTGCTTCAGGAGTTGAAGGCTGCAATTCACAACGAAATCACATCAATTCCTGGTGATGTGCTTGAGCGAGCAATGCGGAACCTCTAGGTCCGACTCCAAGAATGCGTCGCTCGAGAAGGAAGGCATTTGATGGATATAATTTTTAAAAACTTAACTAATTTTTTTTCAATAAACTTCCATTGTAACTACACGTTTTACACTTTATTTCAATCCAATACCTTTAAAATTGGCAGTTTGACAAATATTTTAAAACCACCCGATCCATCTGCGCCACCCTGTATAATACATTTGCATTGTATGATGTCTTACTAACCAGAGGGATAATTACGACTGTTCAAAAACATTAAGTGTTTTACTGCAAAACAATATACCCCCGCCGCAGCAAACCTGCAGACTAAGCGAATTTCCATTTGACTGATTTGATTTACACTGAAATGTCTACTTTTATTTCACATTTATTCCCGATTTAAATAGAATTAGTTTAACAAGTACTTAGGTTTGCTGCATCAGGGAGGGTAAAACTGTTTTTTTGTAAAATGTTAATAGTTAGTAAGAAATAAAAACGTTTTCCAAATTTGATCAAAATATGTTCATAAACAAGCAAACTTCAACAGTTTACTTATTCTCCATAAGAATAACATGGAAATTTTAAATTTACAATTTTTTTGAATTTTCTCCGTAACCATTAGGCGCATAATAACGCTTCAATATACTAAATTATTTGTTTTTTTAAGCTCTACAAAATGGTTTGGAAATAAATTGTTAAATTTTATGTTTTTTTGGTCAAAAATGGGAAAAACCTATTTTTACCCCATAAAACCCCCCGTAAACCCCCGTTCCCATGGTCCGATCATGCTGGATCGCGAACTCGTTCGAATAAACGTAGGTTTACACGTTTGTACCAAATTTCATCAAAATCGGATCATTTTTGCTCGAGTTATCGTGCTAACGGACACACATATATATATATATATAAATATATATATAAATATATATATAAATATATATATATATATGAATTTGAACGGATGGTGTTTTTGGCCTCTAGGGACCTCAAAACGAAAAAAAAAATCGGTCCCGCGTCCAGGTCTTACCATGAGTACTACGGTAATAGCTTATTCCCTATATGGGAAATTCGCTAATACACTGACATTGAACTAAAAATCTAAAGGAAAGGCTAAGGAGATTTGTATTTTTCGACGATGCACCGCACGAATTGATGCGTTATTACACCATCCCGTAATTATAGTTGCAACATTCCACGATCCCAGTGACTTAATGCAATAACGGTCGTCAGATAACAGATGTTATGTATCATGAGTTTTATATTGATTGAAGCTTATTGTGGACATTTTATAGATTGATCGTCCAAATTAAAAAGTTTTGTAGACTAAATTGAGGATAAGTGGATGTCTAACAAAAACGAATTGACTTTACTACTTAATTAATCGTAGTAAGACTGAAAATATTTGTAGGCTTATAAGCTCTATTTTTTACCTCTTGAACAAATCAAACACCTCGAGCAAGATCGGTCCCCTGGTACTTGTGTTTTAATCAAAAATTGTCACATTTTACATTACTACAACATAAACAAATGACCTAAAACTTGTCAGATAATGAACATCAACTAAAGACAATGTTTTGACACTTCAATCACCAAACAAACATTTCCCCTTCCCACCCATCAGTGCTTGGGGTATTGATAATGGCCGTCACTACCCTTCCACAGGCCCACTGCATTCCAAAGCAACTGGACTTTGACTTTCTCTTTCCCCACCCCCCGCGTTGTTTGTCTACAAGGGCACTGACCTCTCACGGCCGCACGCAACCCTCACTGATCACGTGAAATAAATAACCAGTATTTGAGATGCTTCCGCATAATTGGGAAAGTTAGTTGAAAATTCTAACTAGTTAGAAGTTATTAGTTAGTCCCGTAAAAAGTAACTGATAGAAGTTATTAGTTAGTTAATTTAAAAACAAACGAATAAAATAGAAGTTAGCCAAAAAAACTAATGAATAGTGCTATTCGATAGAATTTCTATTCGTTATTCCCAAGTATGTATCTAGTGTATTTCCTTTAATATAGTGTTATTTTGTGTTAGTTGCATGTAGTAGACTAGAGATTAGATGTTTGACGTAGTGTGTAATTTTTAGCGAGATACTATCTCTTGGTTTAGGGTTGAATGATGAATTTCAATAGTGTTTAGCTAACTGTTAGTTAATAACTATTAGTTAATTAGTTTAACCAAAACTCAAAAGTGTGTTTGCATTCATTAATTTTCATGTGCCTGATACATCTATGTATCTCCTCCTAGCCAGTTTTCACTGAATTATCCACTTAAATATTTTCTATTCAATTTACAATTGTAAATCATCATTCACCCTTTAAGGTTTGGACCATTGACTGTAGATACTGTGTCTATATTCGATGCTCTAAACTGACATGTGCTTTGCCTTCAGCTTAAAATTTGTCGAGATAACTAGAAGTGGCTAAGTTTTTAAAATATTTTAAATGTGGTGATGGGTAGATTATTATCAGAAACAATATTCATTCCAAAGGTTTTGAAACAGAACGAAATTCAGTAAAATAGAGGGGAAAGATCTTGGTATTTGGTCTTGGTAAACGGTTGTTTGACTATAAAATTACCAGGTAATATACAAGCTCCTTTTCACAGTGAAATCTACCTAAATCATTTACAACTTAGTGTTGGTGATATTTTCCAAATAAAATGTGGTTTTATGTCTAAAGAGACTGTCTTCCAGATCTTTGAAGCGTATGGATTCCTCCCAACGAGCTCTGAAGGCTACGTTCCTCTATACTAGTCTCTTTCTTCATTAAAACCATGTTTTAAATAAGTAAAAATTTGCCGTGTTTCAAAACCTTTCTGAATATGATTTATAAGAAACTAGAAATTACCATTTATTTTCTCATTTACCTTTAAAAATTCAAACTTTAGTACATTTAGATTCATCACAGATAAACTTATGCTTAACTTCTTGTGCAATTTGAATGATCAAAGTTACTGAACTGTGCCTTGTTTTTTCTTATGTACAGTACCCCCCTCCCCCTCTCTTAACCTACCAAAACAAGATCGAGCTGAAGTCAGATAATCTAAAAGATTGGTTAAAACAAGCAATCATATTAACATGTAAAATACTGACGAAATAAGTGTATGAATACTATCAATATAAATTGAATGATAAACTCACCTACATACAAGGGGACCCCCTCTGTCTAATATTTTTCTAAACAAAAATATAGAGAGATATTCTTTTAGTGGTAGTGCAATATTAGCAGGAAGTTTTATTTTATTATTTTAAAAATATTGAGTGTCCCCCCTAAATGGGGTATTTTGGGGGCAACTCAAAATTTTTTAATGTAAACACCCTTCCTCATTTTGAAGTGTTTACAGAAACTTAAAGAATGGTGAAAACCAAAGTTCGCTATCGCTTCTCTATCCAAAATGGTAGCTTGTTAAATTTATTGAAGTCTACACATTAAAAAGATAAAAAGGAAAAATCAATAATCAATGTTTGGTAAAATTGGCTAATGGCTACCTTTTTGGATAGAGAAGAGATAGAAAACCTTGGTTTTAACCATTCTTGAAGTTTTTGTAAAGTCTTCAAAAAAGGAACTTCTCACGGACATGTTTATTTTAATACAGCCATAAGGATGGGAACAAAGTCTCATATTCCTGGAAAATGATAGTTGAACCAACCAGTTTTGAAATTCAGTGTTGATAAGCCGATCTCTATTTTTGCCTGAGCAAAGAGAGTTGATCTTGTGTAGGTTAAGAGAGGGTTTGTTGTGTGTGCACTCAACAAGGAGACTGGATGAAATGCTGTTTTGTTTTAGCCAACTTATCAGGTAATGTATAAGGTTGGTAACACCGTTTTGCACTGTGGTCATTGTTATGTTTTGTTTAGGTAGCAGAACTGGATTGTTCCCCTCCCCACTCCCTGTTGCTGCCCCCCTTATCATGGCTGCCGAGTCTGCCGCACCTTTCATGACTGGCCATAACTATACAGGTAAACCACACAGTAATACACTCATTTGGTAATGGTAGTGTTGATATAATAGCCATGGTCACAATATCATTACAGCCGCATAATAAGTTGACAATATTGCTGTAATAGTGAAACGTAAATTTTGAGAACCATTCTGAAAGTATCCTCAATCTTTGAGTGCCATTTGTGAAGTAACCTCTGGTTAGTTTTTTTTTCTTTTTTTTTTAAAACAACTATGTAAAGACTTATATAATTAAAGAATTATAAGTAAAGAATTATTATATACATCTTAAAAAATAATCTTCACTTAATTCAACTTAATAACCATACACCTTAAAGCACTTATGGTATCTTTTTAAAAGCTAGATGATTCGGTGTTAATTTTTCCGCCTGTGCTTTGAGACAGTCGATGACTGCATCTTTCTGTTCAGAACCGCTGACACTCCAGCTACTTTTTCACATGCAAGAAGAGATGGTAGTCATAGGGAACTAAATCTGTACTAAAGAGTTTTTTTTCCTAAGGACGCTAAGCACGAGCCCGGGATTGTTTTTATACATTACTTCAGGCTAGACCTAGGGGTTGCAGCATTATCACTTAGATAAAATCCATTGGTGATTTGAAAGGATTTGAACCCGGGACCTCAGGGACCGAAGTCCCGCGCTCTAACCACTACACCAGCTCGCTCCCCACTGTAGAGTATATATGTCCCAAATGAACTTTCCCAGAAGGTCTTTAGTCATCTAGGCAACGTGAGGTTAGGCAAGTCATGACATCCCAGCTCAGCATTGAGCATACCATGGTGTTTGTTTTGCACCATTCTTCCGACTGATAAACCTATTTGTGTAATACTATGTCTTTTATCAATAAATGGCATTGCACAAAATTCCCGATGAACAGCTGAGGCCATATACCTTTTTAAACTTAAAAACCTTGTTGTTCAAATGTTTATTGTGGACATTTTTATCACGAATGTAAAAAAAACAATACACAACGTTTCGGGATCTAGAATCTGACCCCGTCCTCAGGTGAAAAAAACTTAACTAACACATTACAACTAACAATACACAAACGCCCAACCTAAGTTGGAATACACTACAGAGGGTAGCAGTCAAAAAAATATGCACTGTAAGCAGTCAAGTCATGATACAACATGCAAATAATAACCAATCAAAAAACACTATAATCTATAAAAGGTATAATGTAAAAAGCTCACACAATGGAACACTGATAGCACATTAAAAAGGTTTAAATACTTGCTATTAAGCAATCCATTTAATTGCAGTTGCAACTAGTTAGTCTGGACTTAAACTCCGTAGGGTTAGCGTCGTCTGTTGTCGTAACTGATCAGAAAATGTTTCGTGTCCGTAATGTGTTTTTTGTCCTGTGTAAATGTTTATTTATTTTTACTTGTTAAATATGACGCTCTTCATATGAAGAAAGAAGAAGTCCTTGTACCGCCTGATGATGACTCCACATAGGAGTCGAAACTAGTTGCAACTGCAATTAAATGGATTGCTTAATAGCAGGTATTTAAACCTTTTTAATATTATTTGGCAGTCCGGAGGCTACATCCACAATGAACTGATAGCACAGTTCGCAATGACTCCACCAATGAGACTCCTGGTCCAGCAGTATTTAACATTTCCATTTTTTTTAGGGAAAGAAGAAAAGGTGCACTCCATGATGATGTGGAACAAGACTGCAGAAGTGATGATGCCCCCTCCACCCCCTGGCTTGTTGCCCATCAACATGAGGAGATCTTCAGTGCAGATGATTGTTCCGGAGCCACTAGCTCCTGAAGATTTGAAACGAGAAGTCCCTGAAGCTGTGGTCGAGGTGAAGCCCTTATCTGATGTCTCAGAGCATCCTAACACTCAGACATCCTCTATGGAAACTTTCAACCGATATGTGAGCAACGGCGCACTGCCATCCATTCATGTTGGAAATTACCTGTCTAAACTGGAAAGCAACAGCGTTATCAGTGAAGTGCCCAAGATAATGATTCCACCACCGGCACTTTTAAAAGAACCGATGTTTTCTGGTGAATCCTCAAACCTACTGACCACTGCTGATCAAGTTCTAACCAACCAAAATGCTGCAATGGCGTTTGAAGCCAATTCAGCATCTGCAAGTTCATCCATGAGCCAGTCGTTGCCGAATGGTATGAGTGTCATTGTAAATTCAGCGTTAATCTCTAAGAAATCTCCAGATTCTCTCATCAGTCAAGAAGTCGAGTCTCACAAAGAAATGTCTGCACCAAACATGAGTGGTTTGAATATTATAATGTCCCCAGTCAAACGGACTCCCTCAGCCACAGAAAGACTTGATGCCTTTGTCAATTCTGCTGCAGACAGTCATATCAGCCCAACACCAACATCTCCAATCGCAAGCTCTGTAATTGACGAAACCTCTAGAATGAGTGTTGTCAGTGAAATGGTTATGAATGGAACTAATGACATGAACAATATGCAGGACAGTCATGTCACTTCAGAAAGTCAAACAGCCTCTCGAATGAGTCCCCAACAAGAGATTTCAAACATGAATGGAACCGCACTTTGTTCCCTAATGGGTTCTTCTGGCCAAGTCTCGAGCAGTCCGATCCAAACTTTATCGAACATGCAAAATAACCTTGAACAACACATAAACAACCAAAATGGAATTCAGTCAAACATGTCTAATTTGATGCACTCTCCAACACAAGTTTCTCCAAATCAGCTCCAACAATATTCTAAGATGCAATCACCGACAGACCAACATTTGTCACCCCAAAGTTTAAGTACATCCCAAATTAGTGCTGCTGAAATGAACAGCATTATGAGCTGCTCAAACCAATCCTTGGCTGGATTTCAAACACCTTTGGAACATCAGATATCGCCACATATAACAGTCAGCTCATCTCAGATGAACCACACAGAGTTCAATAACTTGATTCAGGAATCCTCACAGGCTTCTACCACCCAGGCTCAACAGCTAACAAACATCCAATCTTCTCTTGAACAACAGTTGTCATCCCAAACCATGAACACCACTCAGATGACTCACTGTGACTTGAACAATCAGGTAAATCTAATGCAGTCCTCAACCTGTAATTCACCAAATCAAGCTCAGGTGATGTCTAATCTTCAAGCCTCTTTGGAACAAATGACCAATCAAGCTGCACCATGTCGAATACTTCATTCTGAGCCAATGCAGGCAAGCAACCTTGGAATCAACAATTTTTCCGGTTCATTACAGTCATCCCCGCACACCTCCCCGAACACAGTTGGGTCGCTTTCCAACATTCAAGCCTCCTTGGAACATCTATCATCTCAAGGAGTCAACACAGTTCAAAATAACCTTGAGATGACTGGTGGAAGCATAACAATGAACAATTCAGTAACTGTTTCTCAAATGCAAGCCGCTGCAAATCAGGCTCAAGTACTATCTGATTTTCAAGCTTCAATGCAACAACATCTTTCATCACAGCTCTTGGAGTCAAGTGCAACTGATTTGGACTCAAGTTCCAACACTTCAAACAGAGTTAACTCTTCTGTAGAAGCCTCTCTTGAATCCATGAACCAGGCTCAGAACATGACTAACATTCAAACAAATTTTGGACAGGTCAGTCCCCAACAGCATCTAAACTCAATGACTGCTCAATCCATGTCTCTCAGCAACTCTCTGCAGACTTCTCCTCAGCATCATGTTGCAGTATCTCAGTCTCAAGTATTTTCCGATATGCAGACCTCTTATAACCAACAGCTCAACGCTAACTTGGTAGGTTCAGCAGCCATTTCTCAGTCCTCAACTCCTTTGGAAAATCTCACAAACCCAATCCAGTCCACTGAATCGTCCAACCCAATAATCCAGTCTTCCATCAACCATATTTCATCGAGCGTGACAACTTCAAGTCCAAATCATGTTGAATCGTTGTCTGGGAATGGTCTATCCATAAATGACTCCCAAATTATTGACCTAAGGAATTCAGTGCCTTTGATGAACACTGTCTCAAATGCTGGCTCTTCTGGAAGCCCCAACATTTTGTCACCACAAAGTTCTCATCACAGTCCAACCTCAGCTCTCACATCTCCCGGAATGTCCATGAGTAGTACACCGACAATGGCTTTGTCCCCAGTCAACATGACGACATCTCAAATAATAGATGCAGGGGCTCAAAACATGATTTTGACCTCGACCCAATCCATGTTAACCCCAGAGCTTCCGATGAACAATCCGCCTAGTCTTATGTTGGCCTCGGGGAATATGCAGGTGCAGGATTCCCAAAACATCTCGATACAGACGACCGCTTTGAGCAGATTTGACGGAGTCACTCAGAGTTTGCCGGTGCAGATGTCATCCATGACACAGTATGAACAGCGTGATCAGATGGTCAATGCAAACAAGGAAGGAGAAAGGAAAGATTCTCGAATGTTCATGATGCCTTCTGGACAGGTCGCCAATCAGCCACAAACAACAGGACAGCCAGTCAAGAAGTGTGAGGAAGGGATGCCTTTTCCTCAGGAGCTCACTCAGATGTCTGAACATGACTTGATCAGCTACATCAACCCGAGCTGCTTTGACACAGGTAACTAAACTCTCTGTAACTGCTATTCCTTTTAACAAAATTAAATAGCCTTTTTTAAGATATTAAAATGCGATTGGTGATTAAGAACAATGAGATGGCTATTTCTAATGGGCGTAACTGTACACCCTAGCAGGTGTGTTGAAAAAATCCTTCTTTCTCTTCTTTTCTAGTTTGCTCTTATAAAGCTTTTTCTTCATACTGCTGCAAAACAGCTGTTTTTAATATATTCGTTACGGGTCTAAAGCTCTTTTTCCCCATAGGGAGTAAAAAGTGCTTTTAGTCCCTAGGGAGTAAACATCAGCTGTTGTTAACTCAGTTCTAAATTATAGTTGTAGACAATTGCATGTATCAATTGATTTCATCAGTTTTTGTTTTCATTTGCTTGTTGTTGCAATTTTATCCATACTTTGACATATTGATAGTATATACACTAACACAATCGTAATAAACAAAATGATTGAATCACATACTAAACAGGTGCTTGTTTGCATTAGCAGGATTGAAAACATGTTCAAAGTCTTTTTGAGAGGTAATCTTTACATGAAAAGTATTTTTGTTTTGTAACTAAGTTTATGAATAAAATTGTGCATTATGAATGATTTGTTGTGTAGTTCATCACTGGCAAAAAGTGTCTTTTCAATCCTCACTTATTTTCCGACCAATGGGAAGTGGAACTTGTGCTTGGGTCGAAAAGAGTCACTTTTACGCCCTAGTGATGAAATATACTATTGTTGGCAGTTAAGTTGGAAAATCGTGACCCTACATTGCAAAGGGTGAATGTGGGATGTAGTCTTCAAATTCGGTCTCCCCCTTTTACTAAAAATGTTTTTCGTGGTAATCTGACATGGTGTTGCTAATTGATGTGTTGTTTTGCAGTGTGATGCTGGTGATCATCGTAATGCTTGATGCTGTCAGTGCATCGTGATGCCCAGTATTCAAGACTGCACAAGACTGGTGCTATGTTTACATTGTGTGAACGATAATTAGCCTCCGTGAGGACTGTGCACAACGTAGTTGGTGCTTGTACATTACAAATTAGTCGTAAGGATAGTCTAGTGTAGGTTTAGATCAAATCTAAATCTTGTATATCTATTGTATTATATCAACATTATCTAGATACAGGTACCGAATCGCTGCCATATTTAATCGATCAAGCCTGTTTGTTGTTTAAACGTAAGCTTAACGTATTTTTGTCTTTCACCAGCTAGTGTCAGTGTACACGGTATACTTTGAAATATTTTTATCCGTTTTGTCTATTGTTACATTTGACATTTTTTATATATTTTTAAGAAATTGTGGACCTGATAAGACAATGAATGAAACTTTCAGTCTTGGCTTAGATTTGTAACTGAATACGTTTGTGTAAGTAAATTGCTTACTACTTGACTGGTTCAAGTGGAACTGTTGAAGAGTTCTACGTTTGATCTGAAACCTGTGTTCCTCTTCTAATGTTGCACTGTTATCTGTATCAACATTTACATTCTAGTCTGTGATCGTGGTTAGGCTTTTCCCTGGGTGCCTCAAAGTGCCAGTGCTCAAATCGTCAAGTGCTAAATGAAAATCAAATTAAAGTGTTCCATAAAGTGTTAAAAGTTATATTTTCTTATTAACATTACCTATTGACTGATGTATACGTATGCTGAGTTTTGAATCTGTGCTTAAATTTGTTGTCTTATTGTCATCTTGGTCCAAAATATTTGTCGTTTGAATAGTAATGCTGTTAACTTTGTAGGTTTTGAATTTTTTTTGTTCAATTTCCCTTTTGTTTTGGTTTTTAAAAGTAAAAAATTCAGTTTTGAACACTATTTTAAGTTCACTATATCCTGTTTTAATAGTACAATTACAGATCTCCATACTCTTTTTAAGCTAAGTTTTATTTGTAGTTTCAGAAAATAATTGATAATCAATCATACATGAGTTTTGTTAAGTTTCATTACAATGAAAGTATTTTTTTCTAGAACGTTTTAGAGCACTTTATTATTATTTTTAAGTAGACTGAAAATAAGCTTAATTTTGTACATATTGCCTTCATAGTTTATCTAATGTTGTTATTAAAGGAAAAATATTTATGTTAATGGAAGCTAATCTAAGTGTTGTTTTGTTTTATAATTTTGATTAATGAAGCATTGTTTAAAGACAATAATGCTTTCTTTGTTGTGGTAGCACATGTGTAATAAATGTGTTTATTTTATGTGCGTATGCCTTCTACCTTTATCTTTGTCCCCTCATGGAAAAAGCAATAAAATGTTATAATACCTACATAAAAACATAATAATTGAAGTATGGGAATCAGTATGTTATTACATTAGGGGTTTTTTAGCTTAACAAACATTGCTGGTCAGATACAGCCTGATAAAGGCAAAAGGAAATGTTATCAAGCAAAATTTTTGTGGCCACCGGTGTCCAGTCAACCAGGAAAACTAAGAATTGTGCCTATATTTGTATGACCGCAGAAAAACACGTGAATTATAGTAATTTTTGTATACGTGAACAGGAAATTCAAAGTTGTTATAATCACCGGCATATCTCAATTTGTTATACTTCACGTTGTCATGAAACGTTAATCTCAGAGGATGAACATAATGTTTCTGAAATCGCGAGAGGTTGGGGGATCCTTTTTACACTTGGGGGAGAGATGACTTAAATTATCAGGTCCTGTATTGAGAAGAAACATTTACTACTTATTTGTTGAAAATCCAGTAGCTGCAAATAACTACATCTGTGTCATTTATATATTTTTAGGAGTGGGCCATAAGTAGAATCTTGATATTCCAGTGAAACTTCATGATTCCAAAACAAAGTTTGAAATAAGAAAAGTCATAATGAAAAGTCAGCGAAACTCAAATGAAAGTTACTTGGACTGTATTAAAATTGTAATAAAGCCTGAGTCAAGGTCAGCCAATTTTAGTTCCAATATTTAGTCAGTCACAATCTATAACAAAATAATTGTTTCCTATTTCGATTAGTTTGATCCGTCCTTACTCCTTACTGTTAAAATCAACATTATTCAGTTGGGAAATCTGAGTAATGTTGTTGGAACAGTAGTAGTCCCTCCTCTACCAATAGTTTTCTCATGTAACACTCTGTTAAAGGAGATATTTGCAAACAGTGTAAATGAAATCCATAGGACAAATGTAGTTTTCCCAAAGAGAATTTGTAAGCAGGGAATTTCAAATGAATCAAACAATTTTTTTCATTACTTGCCCTATATTCATCATTTTATAAACTGAATGGATTCATTCACAAGAGAAGACAGTGTAGACCTATTTTTGTACGGAATCGGAATCAATGCTTGCATTGTCTTTCTAAATCAATATCATCTTAGCAACACTTTTTCTCTAAGAATCAATATTTCTACCTAAAAAAAAAATTTTTGAGATCTTTATACTAATTGTACGTTTCTATAACTTCTCTACCTTCAAGACATTTATGCTAACTATGATTAAATCTTAGGTTGAGCTTACTGTTAAAAGAAAAGCAATATATTACCGGTACTATAAGTACGCGACAAAATAAAAAAAGATTACGTCTATGTTTTATTTTCTTAAAAGCAATCACATTACACATGCTGTACATTTGAGGACAATAACAATAAAAGAACATTTAGTAATGGCGGTGACCCACAGCGGCAAAGCCCATTTTGAAGATTAAAACCTCTTCTTGAATTTGTTGTTCCAAGAATATTCCAGTGGTGTCACGTGGTGTTCATTAATCCTGAATTATCAACAATAGCAAAAATAACTCTGTTAATTTGTATTAAATATTTTGAAATGTTCAATATAAGTTGTTCCAGGAATAGAAAGTAAACCGATAGTGAAAAAACTAAAATGGGAAATTAGCTGGAGAAACTAAGAATGAGGAAATAAATAAAAAAATACTTTTATTTACTGTAAAGAGATTAAGTTCACAACTGCTTTAAAAATTTACTTGTAAAATGGTTTTAAAAATAAAGAACATAAGTCACTATCTTGGACATAATATGTATTGTAATTTTTCTACTTGCATTAGCAATTAAAAAAAATGTTTCAATAAAATATTTTACCCTAAATATTTGTTTATTTCAGTTTATTAAATTCTACTGAACACTTTTTTCACCATATAATAATTTGAATCCAGTCTTCTGAAAACAAACATAATATCATGGTCTTACATCAACAGTTAATATATAAATAAATTAATAAGCAAGCATGTTTCTTTAAAACCTTTGTTCTTAGCTCGTGTGCTTCGCAAGGAAAATCTAAGCATACTGTTAAAAATATATTTTCCTATAGGTGTGCAGAATCCCTTTATAAATAAAAAATAGGTTTAAAAATAAGCCCAATAAATGAATTCTGAAAACTTCAAAACATTAACAGGCCTTATATGGGTTGCCCACGATGGTGACAAAATAAAAACTAAATTTAAACACAAAATCAAAACAAATTCCAATCATATGTTTTATTTACATCATGGGATGAAAATTGAGGAGTCTGTACATTGAAATATATTTTGGGCGAGTTTTCGACCACTGGACAATGATAAAGCTTCATAAATTATATTTTTTTATTGGTACTGAACACATTTATTCTGTCTTAAATCAGATGATGTAATATTTATTATTATTATTGTTTGTTGTGTTTATGTTAGTTTTGGAGTTTTCATGGTGAGTTCTATTAAAAACCAGTGTTCAGTACCAATAAATAAAATATAATTTATGAAGCTTTATCATTGGTGGCAGCGGTAAAGGTAATATACAAACTTAAATAGAATAATGGACCTTTTAAAACCTCCGTCAGCTATTGATTTAAATAGCAACACATTAAATGAATGGACTAAGTTCAAGCAAAAATTTCTGTTGTACCTGGAAGCAACTGAAAAATCTAAAAAGTCGGGGAAAATCAAAGTTGCTTTACTGCTATGTTTAATGGGGGATGGTTGCCTAGACATTTTCAACACCTTTGAATTGGATGATGGGGAAAAAGACAATTTAGACACTGTAATTAAATGTTTTGACGAATACTTTGAGTCTAAAGTAAACACTGTTATTAATAGGTATACTTTCTTTAACCTCAGGCAAAAGTCCGACGAATCAGTTCAGTCATTTGTAACTAGTCTAAAAAATCAGGCAAATAATGTCACATGGACAACCTCTAGTAGCTATAAATAAATCATCAATAGTGTAGAACAATTAATGATTTTTTTTAAAATTGTTATTTGAGGGTTTGCTATAGTTACATAGCAACGACAACAATGAGTATAGTTCAATTACCTCTGATCTTTGTTTAAAATCTTTTAATGTGACAATAATTTCATGAACACCTTGACTTTCACCAGTGTTCAGGGTTGTGGTTTAAAAGAGATAAAACTGAACTGATCAACAAAATACGGATTCTCAATTAATTATACTTTATTGACCGTTTGGCAACAGGAAAAATACCACATAGGAATATCATTGTTCTTTGAAACTTCAAAGATTTGTTCTTGTTGAAACTCGTGAAGGTGTTTTCTAAAATTATTTTTGTAACACATCTCCTACTGGTTCTGCACGTGTAGTACGTCTCATGGACTCATTTGTAATCGTCTGGTGATCCTTGATTATATCATCGACAAACAAAGCATCATAGTTCCAGCTATTTCCGGTGATCCTTGGTCGTTGACTTTTAATCGTCTTTGGCGAGCTACCAGCATTGAACGTCTTTGTTTATTGCTTGTACGTCTGTGGAGGTGTCCGAATCTGACAGTTTGACTGACGCACGCGTGTACTTTAACCTTGTCTCACTCGTGGGTTATTTTTACATTTAGCCACGGAGAAACGCACGAATGCGCTGAAGTGCCGCTAATTAACATTTTGTTTTATTTACTTTCTAGAAAACAAATAAGAATTCCGAGGTTAAGGGCAGAATAGCTATGATGATACGTTTTCATCGAAAGCAGCACAATTTTGATGTCTTGGTGTCGGATTATGTCTGATAGGACTTGACTGATGAAAATTTATAGCTAAAATCTTTTTTATATTTACTGTATTGTACAAACGTATTGTTTAGGCCTACACGCATTTTACTTTGTCCGTATGGTAAAAATAACCGGGAAACCAAATACTTTAATTAGCCTACTGCCGAGTTTGGAGCTCTAGAAAAGTAACTAATCTAAGCATGTTGTTAGCTTCCCCAACCATTTTTCTAATTCAGAGTCAACAATCATACAAATCATGTTAAAAATACAACGTGAAAACAAAATCGATCGTTTTCATCCAACGGTAAGTGCCAACTATAAATATACAATGTTTATAAAACTGCTAGTTCACTACTAGACAGTGTTACGAAGAACAAACTTAGTCTAAACACATCAAGTCAGGCTTTCAGTCTTGTATACAACGAACAGTTTAAAGCCTATACTCTTGGCTGCTCACTTACACTTGGTTTCGATCCGAAATCGGGAGGCAAAAGACAGGTTTGTGAGCATGAATTTAACAGAGATTTGAGATAAATATCTGTTTGAATAAAAATAAAATTGACTAAATTAAAAATAGGCTTAGTGTGCAGAATTGCTGAAGAGGGAAATTATTGCAGTTTCTTTATATCATTTCCCAGCGATTACTAAGTTGCCTGTTTGAGCGTACTATGTAAAGAATTTTTTTTACATTTCACATTTATAATTAACAATACAATAGCCATATTCAAGAAAAATGCAAATGAAAATAAAAATACAGATGATAAGCTACATAAAAATAAGCTATATAAAAACAAGCTACATACCCTACTAATGTTGTCTATATAGCCTCACTTCAGGGCGGGCGTATCTCGAATAGGTAGTCGACATTTTTATAAACTTATTCTGATGGAAAACAGTACAGTTAGTTCTATAGCCCAATCAACAACTTCAAATGTTTATAAACATCATCAACCAAATACTGGCTTATTGAAAATTAATTAGTAGAATGTCAAATGAACAAAAAATGTACTGTAACACACCCAAAATAGTTACTGGAGATAGTAAACTCTTATCAATTTTCTATAGCTCGTTTACTGTTGCTTTTTTTCAACATTGCTTCAAATTCCTTCAATGATCGTTGGTCACGTTACCAACCTGACACGGTAACAGCAATAGAAAAAATTACAGCAAAAACAACTAACAATGAAAAACTACGGCTATTCAAAGATAGGAAAATTTATCACCCATTTAGCTTAACCAACTGTATCTTATTTTTGCACC